CAGCCCCATAGGAGGTGACTAGGACAGGATTGACTGTGAATATATAAAAAAATACTCCCTGCATGCTTACAATGGCACATATATCAATGGAAAGAGTAAATGGGGGAGCAAGGCTTCCTTGAAAACTTGGTACAGTGCCTCATGTGATTCTTTTTGTAGTATAGCATACGCACTAAAATAATTAACTTTTCAAAATGTTTTTTTCATAATTGAGTAATTGCAGAGTTCTTTTTTATTTGCTAAAAGTAGACTTACATCATCACCTTCAAGGCAAGCTACGCACTTGCTTATTCCGGCATATTTCTGGCTGTTTTCTTGGCAACAATACAAAATGATTTTTTTTAAACTTCTTGGTTTAACCTGGAACCCTGGGTTTCTATGATATTCCCCCCTCCAAGTATTAACCGGTTAGCTTTTGAGATGAGCCTAAGATAGTTAAAAGTTGCCACTTTTAAGAAAAATGCCTCCTTTTTTCCCCCCAGCTAGTTACAATTAGGTTAACTGCTGCAATTACTATAAAAATTATTTTATAATTATCTGACTTACTACAAGAGCTAAAACACACAGTCACAAGATGCCTAACAAGATATCCCACTCATGCTTACATTGGTAGACAGTAACCGCTTACTCATATCTCAATTCATGGTGTCTCATTGTATGAGGATATATTTGGTTTACAAGCATGGTGTAATTTGCAGCTCTCTTTACAATGAACAGATGATAGCCAATTGCCCAGAAAACCTGGAGAGATCTGGTTTCTAGCTATGCCTCGAGTGTGATTAGCCAGTCACAACCTTTACAAATCCTCATGCACCTTCCCACAAAACTAGCACTATACTACAGCTTGGCTTTGTTATCTGCAGTAGAGCTCCGTTCTTCCGGGGAACAGGGAAAAACCCCAAAGAATGCAATATCGAAAAACAGAAGGGAGAAAGTGGGGACACCAAGATCCAAGACATAAAGCAGACAACTTAGAAGAAAAGAAGAACACCCCCGCCCCCCCCGAGAAGAGAGAAGGAAAAAGGAGCATGTGTCTATATCTGGTTGTTCCAAAATAAGAGAAGTTATATACAACATGATTATAACTTTAGAATAAGAATAATCCGGGAGTTTCCCCAGAAGGAATTTGTGCAGTTCTGGATCAATGGATCTCAGGACTTCAGTGCTGAAGGGCTTCCAGGTTCAACTCCTACATATTGCACCTACAGCAATTATTTCTTTTTCTTTTTGAGAAACAATGGGTCCATTTCCTCACTGAATTCTTGCCTCATCTCTCCTCTAGGCTCCTCAGCTTCAGGTTCTGAGAGGGAAAGGCTATCCTGATGTTTTACAGTTCCTTCTTAGTGATCCAACAAAAAGACCAGGGGTGTAGCCAAGAAGAATGTTATCAGCATTCCCTCCTCTCCATCATGGGTCTCCTTGCATGCGAAGCCTCAGAAGATTCCTTCCTTCTTTCCTTCCCTTAATAAAATCAATCCTTCCTTCCTTCCCTTAGTAAAATGATCCTTCCTTCCTTCCCTTAATAAAATGATCCTTCCTTCCTTCCTTCCTTCCTTCCTTCCTTCCTTCCTTCCTTCCTTCCTTCCTTCCTTCCTTCGTTAATAAAATGATCCTTCCTTGTCTTCAGCATTTCAGGCTGCAGAAGTGAATGTAATTCACAGATCACTACCAACAATTACTTTGGATTTCCAGAGTGAAAACGGCAATAGCGTGAAGATGCCTTCTGGTTCATCAGGGAGATTGCTGAATACATGAAACTTTATTTACAAAGAATCTGACCCATACTCATCTTCCACTCTGATATCCTTAAGTGCAAGATTTCAATATCCGCCAAAGTTCAGTTCAACAAAAACAGTTTTAAAGGAAGTTTTATAAATTTGGAAGCACCAGCTTGACAACAATTGGGCTGTGCTAATGGAGTTCCAAAGAACTCCCTAAATTGGAACCTGATGTACTGACACACTGAGAAGTGGACAGAGGAGGTACATTATGTGCAACTACTCCCTGACACAGAGTCTGATATCTCATGGTGCTCTAAGCCAGGTTTTTTTTCAAACTGTGGTTCACAAAACCCAGCTATTCTGTGAGAACTTGATTCAGAGTTCTACAAAAGCCTAGGAAAATAAAATAAAACCATTCAAACACCATTTTAGCACTAAGCTTTACCTCTTGGTCAGGCACTGTGGGCATTTTATTTTTAACTAACTAAAGTTTCCTTGGCTTGAATTTTTTGAAAATTCCTGCTCTAATTTCCTAAGAGGAAATTCTTAATAACGTGGAAACCAATCCTATTCACTGTAATTACTTTAATGAATGAGCTAAATTTCAGTTTAATTAAATCATAGCAAAGGCAGCTTTAATTCTGATCTCATCTATTTATTTTTTTTGAATGAAATCCAGAATGAAAATGAAAGCTAGCTTTCCATAGAAGCCATTACTAGTCATTAGTCAGTCAACCATTGGCAAGCTTAGCCTCCACCCTTTTCTCAACAATCACTCCTCTCTCCCCCTCTGGTCCCAATTCTCAGGGTATATCAAAGGGTAAGATCAAAGAGTAAGTAAGGAGTAGGAACCACTGCTTCTTCTGTTGGTTCTATCTTTTTGTTGGACCTCTTTGAGAAACAAGATAGCAGTGGGCAATAGATTGGACCAGGAGCCGTGGTGACGCAGTGGTTAGATTGCAGTATTGCAGGCTAATTCTTGTCAACTGCCAGGAGTTCAATCCTGATGGAGCTCAAGGTTGACTCAGCCTTCCATCCTTCCAAGGTCCCTAAAATGAGGACCCAGATCGTTGGGGAAAATATTCTGACTCTGTAAACCGCTTAGAGAGGGCTGTAAGGCACTATGAAGTGGTATATAAGTCTATATACTATTGCTATTGCTATTGGGCCTTCTAACCACAGCTTCCTGCTGCAATTCCTCAGACCAGTCTCCAAGCAGTAATTGACCAGCTCACTTACTGTATATAGATGCACAATCTATGCCCACCACAAAGCCAGAATATCCCTCCCCCCAAAAAAGATATCTCAGAATTGTAAAATATAGTCTAAGGGGAAATTCTTAATAATGTGGAAACCAATCCTATTCACTGTAATTACTTTAATTAATGAGCTAAATTTCAGTTTAAATTAAATCACATCACATCAAAGGTAGCTTTAATTCTGATCTCATCTACTTTTGTTTGGAATGAAATCTCTATTCAAAAGCCAACTATGAGTTCCTGGTTTAATTGAATCTACATTTGTTTGTGCCTTCTGTATTCTAGCTAAGGTGTAAAGGATGGGAAGAATGACAAGATTTACTACATATTTCAAAATTACATCAATAATATATTTTACATCTTTTGTGCTTGAATACAATTCAATCATTTGTAATACATTTAGATGCTCATACCATTAGACTACTCATTGACTACATTCTTCATATAGCAATAGCAATTAGACTTATATACCACTTCACAGTGTTTTACAGCCCTCTCTAAGTGGTTTACAGAGTCAGCATATTGCCCCCAACAATCTGGGTCCTCCTTTTACAGACCTTGGCAGGATGGAAGGCTGAGTCAACCTTGAGCCTGGTGAGATTCAAACTGCCAAATTGCAGGCACGGCTGACAGCAGAAGTAGCCTGCAGTGCTGCATTCCAACCACTGCATCACCATGGCTCTATATATTTAAACAGGTGCTAATATATACCAATGGCTATGTTTGCACAACATGATAAGTTGATTAATGCTAACCTTGATTCATTTTTGTCTGGTCTGAGTCATGCAAATCTTGTCTTGAATTAGTTTATGGTTCAGTGCATTATGCAAACTTTGAAAATGGATAACTATTTAAGGATGTTGTGGGAACACATCCACTGAAGCTGTTTATCAGTTCTGGTTCTGAGTAAGATAATCACATGACACTTGTTTAATGAATAATTAATATATTTGTTTAATGTACAATGAACTGATTTATTATTCCAAGAAAAAGGAAGGACATACATCTAAAATAATCTGAACATGAAAGCTACATGGAAGCATCTCTAATATTACTTTTGCTGTATCTCTCAGTAAAATGAGGTGTGTTGTGTGGTAACCCCATTGCATGGTATGTATATGCAAACTGTAGCTATCTTATGCGTGGCTCAGTTATGTTACCTTATGCTACCTGGTATTGGTCCAGTGCAGTGGTGAAATGTAAAATTTGTTACTACCGGTTCTGTGGGCGTGGCTTGGTGGTGGTGGTGTAATGTGACTGGGTGGGCTTTACTTTTAAAACCATTTTTTCTACAACCTCTTCGGACAAAGAGGTTGTAAAAAAAGTGCTTTTAAAAGCCTCTGATGATCCCAGCTGAGTTGCCTGATCATCAGAGGTTTTTTTTCTTTTAAAAATATTTTTTCTGCAATCTCTTTGGCCGAAGAGGTTGTAGAAAAAATGCTTTTAAAAGCGTCTGATGATCCCAGCTGAGTCGTGTGATCATCAGAGGCATTTTTTTTACTTTTAAAAGCATTTTTCCAGCAAAAGAGGTTGTAGAAAAAATGCTTTTAAAAATAATTTTAAAAAGCCTCTGACGATTGCATGGCTCAGCTGGGCATGTGGCGGGGGGGGCAGGGATTTTTGCTACTGGTTCTCCAAACCACCTGCTGCCATCGCTACTGGATCAGGCGATCCAGTTCGAACCGGGAGCATTCCACCCCTGGTCCAGTGCTCCATAACCTCAAATTTCACTGAAAACACCAAACGTGGAGCCAAACGTGGATACAGAACCAAGGGCAAATAAAATTTAAATGTGTTTCTCAAAAACATCTTGCCAAGTAACAAGGCTGATAAGTAACAAGTAACAAGGTTTGCAGCCAGAGTGGGATAGGATTAAGGACACTTGGATGGGAAACAACTACCGTAGCAAATACCTGGATGTAGGCTAGACTACCCAAAATACCATGCCAGAGGAAACCCTTCCTTAGAATTTCCCAGGAAACCCCCAAGGATGTGCCCCCTGTAGTCATTAGGAGACAAATTCACCTCGAAGGATAGTATTTTTACTTCTAATTTGTAACAGGTGAAAAATGCACCCTCTGTTTTTAGCATTTGTGGTGTAAAAGCCTCAGCAGGCATTAAGCTCAGTTTGGAAGAGGCTTTGTCTTCATTTTCAATGGTTGAAAAAAGGCTCACCCAAAAACTTCCTATGAGGCCAGGAGTGCCGGCCCAGTCTAAGGAACCCTAGTGCCAGTTTCATACAATTTAATTAATCTGTTCCACAGGGAATGGATCCATATGTCCCAGGCGCTGCAAAGAAAACAAGACAAGCAATGGGTGAGCCAACTTGAGAAGGGGGAAATTTTGCCAATTCAAAGCAGCATATCTGCCATTACAAACGGAAGGGAAGAGAGGGGTCACACCGAGCCACCCCCAGCATCTTAGAGCTTCGTGGCCAGGTTCTTTATCACTGCAGTTGGAAGACAGTTGAATGTCTTTCTAATCACAGAGGGTGGGGAAGCCTTTGCTGGCACAGATAAGGAACCAGGACCTTTTGGAGTCCCTTCTAAGCTTGCATATGGGTGTGCAAGATGCGGGGAGACTGTGGGCCTGATAGATGCAAACTTAGCCAGATAGTCAGGAGCACTGTTTTTGTGGTTAGTTCCAGAGAGCATCTCTGCATGTTCATATCTGCCTTGGGATTCATTCTGTTGCTTTGGGGAAGCTCATCAACCGAACCAGCTTTGTGTTTACCTCACTAGCTTTGATGGAGAAGAGCGTATTGTGGTTAAAGCTTAAAAGTGACAAAATGGTTGCCCTGAGAATATGTGATCAAGCCTCTTAGGTTTCTTCTTGGTTTCCGAGAAAGGAAAAAGAACCAGACTTAAAAGAAATCTTGCAAGATGATTATTGAAAACAGATGCATCCAGGTATGGCTCCTTGCATCTTTCAAGCTAATTTCTTTCTCATTTTTCCCTCCACCAGTGCCTTAAAAAATCCTCAAGAGGCACGAGGAGAAGATTCAGTGGGCTTCTTTGGGGTTTTCTGTTTGTGTGTGCTGTATTTTTCCCATCTGTCTGACTCTGTCCAAGGCCAGTTTCAATGTATATTACATCTTTTAGACTTCGTCATCTGATACTGTGGAAGAAAGTCAAGGGGAATGACTGAAGAATGACTACCTGAGGAACCATCTCACTCCAATGGGACTGGCCCACCCCGTCTGTGCTGGCAGAAGGGGCATGCTGCAGGCTCCATCAATCAAGGAATTTTGGCTGGTGGGGCCAGGAGAAGAGCCCTTTCTACTATGGCACTTGTCCTTTAGAACATCTTGCCCTTGAGGTGAGATCTGCTCCCACCTTTCTGACCTTCCCATAAGTGCCAGAGACCTGGCTCTTCTAGTTGGCCTGAGACCCCAACAGGAGTATATTATGCTGGAGGTGGTTGACAGATTAGAATGGACTGGATTAGACTGGATTGGACTAGAAAAGAGAGGAGAGGAGAGGAGAGGAGAGGAGAGGAGAGGAGAGGAGAGGAGAGGAGAGGAGAGGAGAAAAGAGAAGAGAAGAGAAGAGAAGAGAAGAGAAGAGAAGAGAAGAGAAGAGAAGAGAAGAATTGGAAGAGAGTTTGGATGTCTTCTAGTCTCCAACCTTGGCAACTTTAAGACTTGTGGACTTCAACTCCCATAATTCCTCAGCCAGCTGCTGGTTGAGGAATTATGGGAGTTGAAGTCCACAAGTCTTAAAGTTGCCAAGGTTGGAGACCCCTGTTCTAATCCAACCGCCTGCTCAGGCAGGAAACCCTATACCATTTCAGACAAATGGTTGTCCAATTAAGAGGCGATCCCATCTCCCATCCTGTGCATCTCACTCCCTTCCTCCCCATCTTTTAAATTCTTACTAGAAATAATTATTTTGTTGTGGCTTTATTGGCTTTTAATTTCGTAAGCCACCCAAAGTTGCCTTGAAGCGAGATCTAATCTAATAAATCTAATCGAATAAATAAATTGAATAAATAAAAATAAATAAAAGAGAGGTAGGATATGGACAGGATATGGGGAAGGGCAAAGGGGATCAGCATGACATACTGTAAGCAATGTCAGGGGATTGTGATGCATCAGGGAATTGTGATACAAGCATTTGTCATGATGTTGCACGCCTGTTCAAAAGAGGTGGAGCTTGTGCCATAATGCTGTTTTCTTCATTCTTACAAAAACAGCAGTGAACCTATGAAGTCAGAACACTTCATACCAGTGTAGTTTTATGCCAGCTCGAGGATGGGTGGATAGTTCTACAATTCAGCAGTGGGAAAAGATCCATCGTACTGCCCACACTTTGGGCTTGCAGGTACATGCCAAAGGAGTTTCCAGGTTTAAGGAACACTGTCAAGGCCAAGAAAATTGACTGGAGGTATCCAATATACTGCCAATCTGAACCAAAATGTATTTAGCATTGTCTCAAAATCCCAGATAACAGTAACAGCAACAGAAGCAAAGCAAAGTATGCCTTCATATTTTTTAACAATCTCATTCAGGTTATGAAGTTTTATATATATAATAACTGCCCTGTCTCCCTAAGAGCAGGACATTTTGGAATATTCACCTTTACTTAGGGGAGTGAATAGACTCAATCTGGAGCGTTTAAATCACACAAAATGGCATTTGTGATGATGTTAAACAGCAAGTATGATTGTCTATCCATGGTTATCCATAACTCTGAATGGGCACTCTCCTGAAACCCAGTATTAGAATAAAATGCATTAGCAGAAAGCCAAAAATTCCTAATTTCTTCTTCCCCTTCTATCCAAGGTTCTGTCTTAATTTTCTCTGATGCCTTAAGTAATGAATTGAGCGTTACACAGAATTTACAGCACCGTCCTATGTAGAGTTAAGTTCCTCTGCCTTCAGTTGATTTAACTTCCAGTAATTGTCTGGCACAATCTTACAGCAAGACACAAAAGAAGGGAGGGGGGAGGGATGACCCTGCCTCATGTAAAGGCACGTTTTGCTCTTTAGAACAAACAGACAATTTTTAAAAGGCAGTGGAATAATACCATTTCTAAAAACAAAATTCCAAGACCACTTCAAGTTGTTCCTCAGCTTCCTCTGCAATTTTAGTGACTATTGTAGGAGAAGCATGAGGGAGCCAGCTACGTATGAGGGCCAACTTATTTTTTAAAAAGCAAAAGGGGGAAAAGAGTGTTAATTTACCAATAAAGGAGAAGGACCCCTCAATGCTAATTTACTTGATTAAGAATCAGTTTGATGACATAGTATACAATTAGATCATCCTTGGGCGGAGTGGCTCTATGGGATTATGCAATCACCATTCCTGCCTGCATCCAGGACCCTCACTGTGGGAGCTCTAAACTTTTTCCACAAGGCAGCCTGAGCTGTTTTCACAATGTGGAGAAAGGCGTGTTAGAGGTCTCTTTACGCCATCTGTTTTAGCACTGAACGGAACCCCAACCAAGGAGAGCCAACTGGCATCTTCCAGACAGTTTGAACCAGGGGTGAAATGCTCCTGGTTCGGACCGGATCAACTGATCTGGTAGCGATGGTGGCGGGTGGTTCAGGGAACCGGTAGCAAAAATCCCTGGGTCCCCCACCCATCCCCACCCAATCGGCCGGTCGCCTGCTTGCCGCTTCTTTTAAAAAATGCTTTTAAAAGCTGAGCCGCGCAATCGTCAGAGCCTTTTTTTTCCTTTTAAAAGCATTTTTTCACAACCTATTCAGCCGAATAGGTTGTAAAAAAATGCTTTTAAAAGGAAAAAAAAGATCGCGGGCCACAGCTGATCACCCCTCCCCCCGCACTGTTCTACTTACCTCATGCTTCCTTTTGGTGTGTACTGTGTGCGCGCACTTCGCATTTGGTGCGTGCCTAAATAGCACGACTTCGAGCCCGGGTGGGGCGGGCCCACCCGTGATTGCCGCTACTGGTTTGCCTGAACCGGCAGAATACCACCTCTGGCATCAGCTAACAAAGCCAGTGGCAAACTCCCAGTGTTCTGGGAGTTGAAGTTCAAAGCATCTGGTGCCCAGCCAGTCACCTACCTTTAAACATTGCCCAATCCTGAGAGGAAATCCAGAGTTACCTTTGTCTGCCACAGCATTCATCAAAACTTGGCTGCTTCTCGACTTGCTGACCGGTTTGGCAACATTTTGCCCAGGACTGAAAGAAGAAGCAATATTCGAAGACTGTACCCTGATTGAGCTGTTTTTTTTTTTTTTTCATTTAACTCAGAATTATCCATTCTGTCTATGAAAGGTTTCCTCAGTATATGAAACAGAATTTAGTTGTTTATGTCATCTCTAACCTTTTGCAGCTAGCAACATGAGGAATGGAACACAAGGCCTTTTGCTAGGGAAGCTGGAGGGCCCTCCCTAAATTTTATTATATTTATTTATTAGAAAAGGCTTATATGCAAGGGTGGGATTCAAAAATTTCAGCAACCGGTTCTCTGCCTGGTTGTTGGGTGGGTGCGGCCATGGTGGGTGTGGCCTACTTGGCCTCCTGCACTGCAGCGGGGGGGTGGGTGGACTTTTCGCCTCTCCAAGCTCCGAAGGCTTTCTTTGAGCCTCCAGGAGGGCAAAAATGGCCTTCCCCGGGCTCCAGAGACCCTCAGGAGTGTGGAAATGGGCCCATTTCCGGACTTCCAGAAGGCCTGTTTTCCAGCCTTCCCAGGTTCTGGAGGTTTTCCTCAAGCCTCCGGGAGGGCGAAAACAGTCTTCCCCGGGCTCCAGAGTTCGGAAATGGGCCCGTTTCTAGACTTCCAGAATGTTTTTTGCCCTCCCAGAGCCTCCACGTGGACGCTGCACATACCTGGCATCCAAAACAGGATGCGTGGAGACTCCTGGGAGGGAAGGGGCATGGTGGGTAGGGCCAACCAGTCCTTGCAACTACCGGTTCAGCAAACCAGATGTAAAATTAGCATCTGGTTTGCTCAAATTGATCGGAACCGGCTGAATCCCATCCCCACTTATATGGCCATCTATCTTATACTTTGACTGCAGGTGGCTCACAACAATCCATAAAACATATAGTTACCCTTAGGTGCCAGACCAAACATCCTCCCAGTTCAACTCCCCATCCTAGCCCATGCTTGGAGTAAAAAAATGGTCTTCATAGCCCTCTGGAAAGCTAAAAAGATTGGGGGTCCCTCTGATCTCTGTGGAAGGCTGTTCCAAATTATGGAATTGGCCCTCCCCGTCACTCAAACCACCACAGTTAGAATGACAATGCAAGATAGATGACATCTGGATTTGGAGCTGGAAGTTTTCTTTGCTTTTCTGCAATTATACAAGGTTACTTTAGGATTCATGTTATCGTTTTTTATCTCGAAATATTTCCCATCTAAAGTTGCCAAGGAAAAATGGCATCAATTTTCACCAACTGTGATCAGATCAAAAATAAACTGGGGCCAGACAAGGCTGAACATGTCCTGGACCTTCTACTTCCCTATTCTTTGCTTCCTGAGAAATTGCTCAGAATGGCATGCAAGAAGAAGGACTGCTCTGGAGAGGCATCTGTCACAATACAGGTAGTCCTCGACTTACAACAGTTCGCTTAGTGACTGTTCATAGCAGTGGTGGGTTGCCCCCGGTTCGAACCGGTTCTATAGAACTGGTAGTAAAACCGGCGGGAGGCTCCGCCCACCAACCCCTACGTCATCAGGAAGCTTCTGCACATGCACAGAAGCGCGAATGGCCCCATTGTGAACCGGTAGTAAAGGTAAGTAGAACCTACCCCTGGTTCATAATTACTGTAAAATGGCACTGGAAAGAAGTGACTTAAGATCATTTTTCACACTCGCGACTGTTGTGGTTTCCCCATGGTCACATGATCAAAATTCAGATGCTTGGCAACTGATTCATATTTATGATGGTTGTAGTGCCTTGGGGGTCATGCAGTCTCCTTTTGTGACCTTCTGACAAGCAAAGTTAACGCGGAAACCAGATTAACTTCACAACCATGTTACTAACTTGACTGCAGTGATACACTTAACCACTGTGGCAAGAAAAGTGGGGCAAAACTCACGTAACAATGTCTCACTTAGCAACAGAAATTTTGGGCTCAATCATGGTCGTATGTCGAGGAGTACCTGTACTGGGCTGAATTACACTACTACAACTACACTACTGGGGTGAAAAACTCTGGACCACTAGAGGTTAGCAGTTATAATCTATGTCTGTTTCTCCACCTTGGCAACTTTAAGATGGGTGGACTTCATCTCCCAGCATTCCCCAGCCCACATTGGTCTATGTATATCCTGTGTTACCATCTTGTGGTCGTCCAGAATTTTGCAAGCACTGGTGGTGGTCAATGGTACTGCAAAGTCAATAGTGCCAGGAGCCACGAATTTAATAGTAGCAAAAAGCCATGTGCCACAAAGCAGAATTAATAGCAGGAACTAAATGAAGCTCATTTCGTCATCTCCTCACCTTTTGGGCCATACATTATTTTAGGCCAAAGTCTGTTTGATAAACTGTGCTTTAAGCTAACCATAACATGACATGATTAGCACTCTCAAGCACTGATACTTAGTTCAGAATAAATACCACTGGACTTCCATTGCATCTTTGTCTTTGCAAGCTGCTAGCAATTACTACACCCCCCCCCCCCTCATGCATCCCATGGCAGGGGGAAGCTATTGGGTATAAACACAGAGCAAACCCCACACCTACTTCCACTGATGATATTATCTAGTTGGGTAATGAGACGTGAAAATAAATAACCAGTTCAGGGAACAGCAACAACTCCATCGCAAATGTTCTGGCTGAGGTGACAGCAAATATCTGTGTATTCCTGGAACAAGAGATGGGATGCCTGAGGTGGTCACACCAGGAGTCAACAATGCCTCAACGACAACAAACAACATACACGATACTAACTGTATCCCAGCTGAAACTATGGTTGAGTCTGTCCATGTGTTGTGAGATTAAGACATTTTGGTCTTGTCTTCTGACTTCAGTTTTCAGCCTGCCTGTCCTACATGGTATGTTGTAGGTTCCCTCCCCCCTCTTTAACTACTGAGTTTGCTTAAAATGCTTTGGAGGGCTGGATGGTGGGGCACATTTTGATAAAGTTGAGTGGGTATTTGTTTCGTTGGACTATGTTACCTAGGTGTTTTCCCCCCTTTTTTGCTGCTGTGCATTTGTACCTCCTCTTGTGGGAGGTTGGGTTGCTATTTTGGTAGTGGAACACTTAAGTTAGTGCAAGTTGTTTTCCAATAGACTTGGGTTTTTAATTTGCTGTTGTTTCTTTTGCTGATGAGGATATCCAGGAAAGGTCGTGTGTTGTTGTTTTCGTCTTCCCCTGTGAATTGTATTCCTTTGAAGAAGTTGTTGATTGTCTCATTTGCTTTCTATTTCAATCCTTCTTATAGAAACGGAGGGTTTCGGGAGGTTTTTTTTTTTTAGCCAATCCTCCTGGAAATGCCAGAGAGCCAAACAGGACTTCCTGTAGGCCAAGGATATCCTGCTCCCCAGCTCTGACATCCTTAGCTTCTCTTGAGAGCAAAACAAGAGTCCCTATTCAACGGCTCATATTCAGAAGAGCAGGAAAGTCAATATGCAACATGCAGCTCCACTAATTCATTAAACATTTACTTCCTTCTCTCTCTCTCTCTCTCTCCCTCCCTCCCTCCCTCTCTCTCTCCCTCCCTCCCTCCTCTTGTCCATGGGCCCTCAAGCCAGGGGTGAAATCCAGCAGGTTCTGGAGAACTGGTAGCGGAAATTTTGAGTAGTTCAGAGAATTAGCAAATACCACCTTTGGCTGGCCCCAGAGTGGGGTGGGAATGGAGATTTTGCAATATCCTTCCCCCAGGAGTGGGGAGGGAATGGGGATTTTGCAGTATCCTTTCCCCAGGAGTGAAGAGGGAATGGGGGTTTTGCAGTATCCTTCCCCCAGGAGTGGAGAGGGAATGGGGATTTTGCAGTATCCTTTCCCCAGGAGTGGGGAGGGAATGGGGATTTTTTAGTATCCTTCCCCCAGGAGTGGGGAGGGAATGGGGATTTTGCAGTATCCTTCCCCCAGGAGCAGGGTGGGAATGGAGATTTTGCCACACCCACCAAGCCACGGCCACAGAACCGGTAGTAAAAAAAAAATTGATTTCACCACTCCCTCAAGCATACCTTGAAATCATAAGGATTAAAAACTCAGGAACAGCACGTGAAAAAAGAACTTCCCAAAGAGCTGAAAAGAAATGCTGGATGATCTCCCTCCTTGCAAAGATGGTGGCAGATGTCTCAGTCCAACTTTCAATTGATTTGCTGCTCAAACTGACTCAACCTCATTGGAGGCATAAACCCTTTAGCTGTTTCAGTTGGCTAAAATCAGGACCGGGACTTCTGGATGTTGTGAAGTCTCCGTCCTTCTCACCTTTCTTGCACTCAACAATTAATCAGTGGAACAACTTGCCTCCAGAAGTTGTGAATGCTCCAACACTGGAAGTTTTTAAGAAGATGTTGGATAACCATTTGCCTGAAATGGTGTAGGGTTTCTTTCCTAAGCAGGGGGTTAGACTAGAAGACCTCCAAGGTCCCTTCCAACTCTGTTATTCTATCTAAGCAAGGGAACTATGAGGAGGAAAATAGATTCAGGAATGGGAGAATTTTATGTTTGTTACTCAAAAATCACAAGCCAATCCCCAGTTCCAACTCGGTATCATCCGATTTGATACGGATTGTTTAATTATTCAGAATATTTAAAAAAGAGAGATTTGACTCCGCTGAACCTTAAGATATAATAAGTAGCATGAGACTCCAGCAGTTTTCTCAGAAAAAAACCCAACATTCTTAAAATATATTTGGTTAAAAATAAGGCAGCTCTGCATAAAGCTATTTTAACAAGATCGCTTCTCCCACTTCCTATTTTCTAAATTAGCTGTTCCCACTTCCCATTTTCTAAATTTCTAATTCAAGTACACATGTGCAAAAAAAGAATGGGATGCCTGCACTTTTCACAATTGTGCTGAAGAGGCTAGCTGAGCAGGTGTGACTTGCGTGGCAAAGTAGACCAGCATTTCTTCAAACTGACTAGGAAAAATACAGGAGCTTTGGAGCTCCTGCCATCAGCAACCAGACTCAGATCATTTGCCAATATCCTAAATCCTAACTTTAGAAACAAGAGTCTTATATCAAATACAGAAGTCTTTTGCAAATGGTTGACTTCATGTTATGGAAATGATACCTTAACTCATCTAACAGCAGGAGGTGGAAAAGTTGATTGAGAAAAAGACTTCTACTGATTTGAAATAAAGCCAGTTTGATAGAGTGGTTAAGATACGAGGTTACACAGAGCATGGGTTCTAATTTGAATTTAGGCACAGAGTCAGCGGAGTGATTTTGAGCCAGTCACTCTCTCTGAGCCCTAGGAATGAGGCAATGGCAAACCACTTCCAAAAACTTGCCAAGAAAACTGCAGGGGCTTGTTGTCATTTGCAACAATGACTCAAAGGCGAGAGAAAAAGAGAAAGAGAGAGAATTGAGATGGATCAAAAAGAGTCACAAGAAGGAGTTGTAGAATACATTTTTAGACTGCAGATCTACGCACACTTTCCTTGGAATTTATTCCCATAAAATGTACATGAAATAATTTAAGATGGCAGTATTAGGATTTAAGTCAAAATCAATGCCACTTCTCATGAATTTAATTCCACTCAATTTTGTTTTCGCCATGGGTGCTGTAATCGCAGTTCTATGCAGACTTTCTGTACCGAAATTTTGAAAAAGCTAAGAACTTTTTAAAAACTATCCAGAGTATGATAACTGGCATGAGTTGAAAGTTTGTTAACAATGCCATATGAAACCTCAAAAGTAACTTATACTGAATAAAATTTCCAGTCACATATTTATTTATTTATTTATTATTCTAATTTGTATACCGCCCTTCTCCCAGAAGGGACTCAGGGCGGTGAACAGCCAAAATTAAAAAACATACAAATGCAAAAGTTAAGATAATTAAAAGAATTAAATCATTGGCTACCCAAATTTAAAACCCCAAATCCATAAAATTTAAAATCCCAATTAAAAAACCATTTAGGCTAGGCCGGCTTGATGAAATAAAAATGTCTTCAGGGCTTTACGGAAGGTCCGGAGGTCCGGGATCAATCGTATTCCAGGAGGCAGCTCATTCCACATATGTATGAAAATTTGAGCAATGCATGCCCATCTCATTTTACACATACACACACACACATGGGTGGGGGTGGGGGTAGGGGAGAGCAGTTTTGTTGACATTCCTTCAAAAATAATACTTTGTGAAGAATTAGAATGGGACATTTGCTAAACTAATTAATTTCTTTGCAAAATCTGCCCACCATGAGGCTTCCCTTCAGGACAGCAGTAACTATTTCTAGAGATATAAGAATGTTTAGGATTTCAAAAGGGGCACTCTGCCCTCTACTGGGAAACTACTGAATTGAATCAGAAAAATGTTTGGAACATAACAGTTTGGTTGATTCTTTTTCCCTTGACTCGCTTTTCTCAACAAATTGATCCCTCAGAGTCCTCCCATCTGATCTTAAATGTAATACATGTTCCCACAGGACCACAAATGTTCGCTAAGGAACAGCCTTCCCTGACCTGGTGCCCTCCAGATGCATTGGATTATAGGTAGTCCGCAACTACCACAAATGAGCCCAGAAATACAATCGTAAGTTGTGCCAATCATTAAGTGGGTCATCATGTGACCCCCACCCTAATTTTACAACCTTTTTTTGCAGTATTCAATTAGCAAATCCATTTTTCTGCAATGGGTACCCGGTTTTCCCCAAAATAAGACATCCCCTGATAATAAGCCCAATCAGGCTTTTGAGCACATGGCAATAAGGCCAAGCGCTTATTTCAGGGTTCAAAAAAAATATAAGACAGGGTCTTATTTTCGGGGAAATACGGTATTTTTTTGCTGGAAATTTGAAGTAAACACCAGTTTCCAGCAAAAATAAATTAAAAAAAAGTAAATCACAATCATTTGATGCTACAAATGGTCGTTTTGTAAATATGGGCCAGATCTGAGTGTCCAAATTGCAACCATGGCTGGGGGTGGGGCTATTGGAACTTTAAATCTGTGTTGTACCTTTCTGAGGGTCTGTCATTACTTTGAATGGTCACTGATTGACTATATATAACTTTCATTACTTCTTGCAAGTATATTGTGTTGATTTGGCATAATGGCATTGTAGTCCAGTACATCAGAAAGGTACCAGGTTGTGAGACACTACTATAGCAGTTGAAAGTTATATATAGATCTAGCTCAGGGGTGGTTTCTACTTACCTTTACTACTGGTTCGCCTGCGCGTGTGCGCTTGTGCGCATAAACTTCCTGATGACGTCTGGGTCGGTGGGCGGAGCTTTCTGCCGGTTTTACTACTGGTTCTTGTGAACCGGTCCAAACTGGGAGCAACCCACCACTGATCTAGCTGTAGGGGAGTCCTTTTCCTGCCCTGCCAAATCTCCCCAAGGAAACCATGCATCCCAAGCTTCAGCTGTGTTCTGTGATAAGCAACTCAAAAACTGCAAAACCCAGCTGGAGTGCTTGTTTCAAAAGCTGGCCAGGCTTGACCCAGTTGGATCATCCAATTTAAAGGTTTCCCACAGCTGTGGCGGCGCAGTGGTTAAAATGCAGTATTGCAGGTTAATTCTGCTGACTGCCAGAAGTTCGATCCCCACCAGCTCAAAGTTGACTCAGCCTTCCATTCTTCAGAGGTTGGTAAAATGAGGACCTAGATTGTTGGGGGGAATAGGCTGACTTAGGGAGGGCTGTAAAACTCTGTGGAAGCGGTATATAAGTCCAAGGGCTACTACTAAGGAGCCTCTATAATGTGAGAGCCTAATCAACAAGTTTAGGTCTAGGGAGGAAAGAAGAGGGGAAACTCTAAGTTTTCAGTTTTTATATGCAGAGGCTGTGGTATTATATCTGTGCTGCAAAAATCCAGAATACCCCTAGATGGCAGCAAATAATTCCTTTATCTCTTTGTTGCCATCTGGTCCAATGCTTAACTGACATAGATAATAAAAGATTGACAGAGGCTTGTTCCTCTAGTCTAGCATATTTAAATGTCCTGTGGGAACACTAAAAAGAATTGACTTAGTCAACTAACAATGGGGGTTATATTTAGCTCTAAAGAGACCCACTCATGGCTAAACTAAGTTTATTCAGTCACTCCTGTCATGGAACACCTAAGCCTAATCAACTGACTGGTACATACTTTGTCTTCCAAGAAAAATAGTTGGCAAAGAAAGAATGGCTGATAAAGCCAGTTCCCTTTTCTTACAATTTTGCAATGACTCATTGATTACAGCAAACAAGTAACAGTTACAGTTGGCCAACCAGCCAACGGGGAAGGTGCTAGAGTTCTTACTTAGCCTTACCAGTACATTGCTGATACATGGGTTCATGAAATATTGCGCACTTCCTTCCTTCCTCTCCTTTCCATTACTTTTTCATTGATCGTTGATCAATCCTGTTGAGAAAGAAAGAAAAAGAAAAGAAAAAGGAGATAATTGTGGAACAAAAATGATTATTTCTTTTGCATTACACTCATTCTTTGATTTACAGTAACTTTGATGGGCTCTAAAGCAGGGGTAAAATTTGTTACTATTTTTGTTCTGTGGGCGTGGCTTGGTGGGGAGGGGGTAATGTGACTGGGTGGGCGTGGCCAACTTTTTTTTTTTAACTTTTCAAAGCATTTTTTCTAATGCTTTGAAAAGCCTCTGCCGATCAGGCAACTCAGCTGGGATCGTCAAAGACTTTTCAAAGCATTTTTTTTTACCACCTCTTCGGCCAAGAGGTTGCAGAAAAAAATGCTTTGACAAGCTTCTGACAATCCCAGCTGAGCAGCATGATCATCAGAGGCTTTTTTTAAAAAAAACTTTTAAAAGCATTTTTTCATCGGAAGAGGTTGTAGAAAAAATGCTTTTAAAAGTAAAAAAAAAAAGCCTCTGATGATCGTGCGGCTCAGCTGGGCATGGTGGAGGTGGGTGCAGGGATTTTTGCTACTGGTTCTCCGAACCATCCGCCGCCATCGCTACTGGATCGGGCGATCCAGTCCAAACCAGGAGCATTTCACCCCTGCTCTAAAGACGTTCCAGTCAGTCTAAAATTAGCATGAAAGGTAGACCTCAACATGCGTTTAGTGACTGTTCCAAGTTACAACAGCACTAAAACCAGCCCTCATACTTACACACTTACTTATTTGCAACCAGCTCTCATACTTACAACCATCACAGCATCGTCACAGTCACATGATCAACGTTTGGGCACTTGGCAACCAGCATGTATTTCTGATGATTGCAGCATCCTGGGGTCATGTGATTGCTATTTGTGAACTTCCCATCCTTCTTTTGATAGGCAAAGTTGGTAGGGGAAGCCAGATTGGCTTAATGACTGAACATTTCAATTAACAACTGCAGTGAACAACCATGACAAAAAAGTTGCAAAGTTGGGATCGACTCACTTACCAATCATCTCGCTTAGAAATGGATATTCTGATCTCAATTGTGGACATAAGTAGAGAAGTACCTGTACACTTCTTTGACGCAGCGCTTGTCACTCCCTGCCCAGATGCAGAGTTCTGGCCTTTATTCCAAGAATTCTGCTCAAATTCCAGAACTGCTGGAAGAGCATTAATGTATTCATAATAGTCCTATGTGGTTTTTTTTTCTTTTCTGTGACACAGAAAAGAACCTCCTCATCATAGGACACCCCAAAGATGCTTTTTTTCAAGAGGCAACTGGACTTTCTGGTTTTTCTTTGAAGACATTTCACTTCTCATCTAAGAAGCTTCTTCCGAGCTGAAGCAGCTTCTTGGATGAAAAGCGAAAAGTCTTCAAAGAAAAACCAGAAAGTCCAGTTGCCTCTTGAAAAAAAAAAGGACCTTTGGGACAGGGGTGGGTTCTACTTACCTTTACTACCGGTTCGCAATGGGAGCGCGTGCGCAAATGCGCAGACGCTTCTGCGCATGCGCAGATTGTCAATTATGACGTCTAGGCAGGTGGGAAGAGCCTCCTGCCTCTTTTACTACCGGTTCTAAAGAACCGGACAGAACTTGGAGCAACTCACCACTGCTTTGGGACAACCGTGACCAGATGACTGAGAATGTCCATAGACATCCATCATAGGACACTAACTCCCCTATAAAACACACACTTATTCAAGGATCCACCTCAATGCTCGAAAATAGAATCTAGATCAGTGGTTCTCAACCTGTGGGTCGGGACCCCTTTGGGGGTTGAACGACCCTTTCACAGGGGTCACCTAAGACCATCAGAAAACACATTTTTTCAATGGTTTTAGGAATAATTTTATGGTTGGGGGTCACCACAAGATGAGGAACTGTATTAAAGGGTCGCGGCATTAGGAAGGTTGAGACCCACTGATCTAGATCAAGGAATGTCTGAAGGCTGCAGAAGTGAGTTAAGAGACTTTCTCCAAGGGTTGATTTACCTTCTCCTGGCTGAATAGATTTGCTTGTTTTGGTCAGAGATCTGACTGCCTCTCAGATGCGGAAGGACAAACAAGGGAGAGGAAAGCCAACAGAGGCAATGCCTAGAGGCCGGAAAACTAGTTCCGATGGCCACCACTAGGTGGCAATAAAAAGAAGCTGCATACTGTACATTAAGCTGTTAGCACAACATCGATGAAGCGTGTTATATGGGGACTAAAGGCAGTTTATACAACTTGCTATATTGTTCTCTCCGCTCAGCCGGCTGTCATTCCTCCAGAAATGGGGAGTATGCAGAATCGCAGATCGCCTCCTTTCTTCTTCGACACAGCCACCCGTTTGGCTCTGGTCTTTCAACTTCAAGGACATCACCCAAATAGCCCTCCGTTGCATGATTTAAAAAGCGCTGGTTATTTTGAGATCATTTCGCAACCCCGCTGACCAGACAGTAGATTTCTTCTGTCAGGCGAACTTTTTTGAAATTGGGTATATAAACGTGGAAGAAGTTCATCGCGCTCAAATTTCGAGAATGCCGTTTTCTCTCGTCCCAAGGACGCGGGTGCGAATTAGAAAACGCCAGTTCGCTGGCTTTCGGTCGCCCCAAAACCCAGCGAACGGTGAAGTTAACTCGAAAAAGAATATTAAGATAATCTCGCGTCCAATATTTTAATCGGGACGGGAACAGCACTGATACAACGGGAACAGAACGAAGTAAATGTCCCATAAAATTACCGCATTGATAGGAAAACGTACAATATAGCATGTTGTATGTGGACTTCGTTTACCGATGTTGGAAAAGAAATACATTTATGTGTTGATGGGAGGAAGGGGGATATTAGGATTCTCCGCTTTAGAGTGATTTATAAAAATAATCAGGGCGGGATGAATAAATTAATAAAAGAAAAACACAGTAGTTTTGAGACCAAGCTCTTTCACGAGGAAGTGGGATGGCTCTTAAAAGAGCCTTTTGGGTTTTCTCGATCGCCTTACTGCGCAGCGCAGCCGCCTCACTTGGAGCTGGTGTATTTGGTGACGGCCTTGGTGCCTTCCGACACGGCGTGCTTGGCCAGTTCGCCGGGCAGCAGGAGGCGCACGGCCGTCTGGATCTCCCGGGAGGTGATGGTGGAGCGCTTGTTGTAGTGGGCCAGGCGGGACGCCTCCCCCGCGATGCGCTCGAAGATGTCGTTGACGAAGGAGTTCATGATGCTCATGGCCTTGGAGGAGATACCAGTGTCGGGGTGGACCTGCTTCAGCACCTTGTAGACGTAGATGGAGTAGCTCTCCTTCCTACTCTTGCGCCGCTTCTTGTCGCCCTTCTTTTGGGTCTTGGTCACGGCTTTCTTCGAGCCCTTCTTGGGCGCGGGAGCAGATTTCGCCGGCTCAGGCATTGCGAATAACCGATCACTGTTTCTTCGCACGGCAAACGAAAAAAAAAAAAAGTCCAGAAGTCAGTCTGAAGAAGGGGAACCGATCGCGTCGCTTTATTTATAGTCTCTCTATGCAAATGAGAGGATCCAAAGCATCACGCTGTCATTGGCCGAAGGAGCTTTGATATCATCGCTCCTGCGCACGCACATGCAAATGAGAGCCCTGCAAAATGCCCGGATTTCTATTGGGTTAGAACACTGTCCCTGCCCTTCCTTACTGGTCGCCTTGAGAGCTTGCCGTCTTATTGGTTCTAAAATCCTGGTAACAGGTTTGGCCCAATCAGGAATGGCGCTGGCGTGTGCTAGGAGGGCATAAAAGGAGTCGGGGGTTCTCTTTCTTTAATTGCAGTTTTATTTTTTTTCCCTTCTGTGTTGGGAGCCGAGAGCTGAGTCAGTGTCGCAATGTCTGGCCGTGGCAAGCAGGGGGGGAAAGCTAGAGCTAAAGCGAAATCTCGCTCGTCTCGTGCCGGGCTCCAATTTCCCGTAGGTCGAGTTCACCGCCTCCTTCGCAAAGGAAACTATGCCGAGCGGGTTGGTGCTGGAGCCCCCGTTTACCTTGCTGCAGTGTTGGAATATCTGACAGCTGAAATTCTGGAGCTGGCTGGCAACGCTGCTCGGGATAACAAGAAAACTAGAATAATCCCTCGTCACCTCCAGTTGGCCGTCCGTAACGACGAGGAGCTCAATAAACTACTGGGAGGCGTCACTATTGCCCAGGGAGGAGTCTTGCCCAATATCCAAGCTGTGCTACTACCCAAGAAGACCGAGAGCCACAAAGCCAAAGGCAAATGAAGACGCTATCCCTGTAACATCAGTGTAAAAAACACAAAAGGCTCTTTTAAGAGCCACCCACAACATCAAAAAAGAGCCGTTACTTGTGTGTTTTGGGTTTTTTTGTCTAGGTGTATAGGTTCCATCTTCATTGTTAAGTTCAAGTATTTTACAACACATGGCACTATTGTAACAGTGATTGCAGCTCTCTACTGAGGCAGTGGGTGGCCCTTAAAAGGGCCTTTTGATTTACTTTGAAGAATATCAAGTTGCGCAATATTTAACCACCGAATCCGTACAGGGTACGGCCTTGGCGTTTCAAAGCATAGACCACGTCCATGGCTGTCACTGTCTTTCTCTTGGCGTGCTCGGTGTAAGTCACGGCATCGCGGATGACGTTTTCCAGAAAGACTTTCAGCACCCCGCGAGTCTCCTCGTAGATCAAGCCAGAGATACGCTTCACTCCGCCACGACGAGCCAAACGGCGGATAGCAGGCTTGGTAATGCCTTGGATGTTATCTCGCAAGACTTTGCGGTGGCGCTTAGCGCCCCCTTTTCCCAAACCTTTTCCGCCTTTTCCACGGCCAGACATCTCGCCGAATGATAAAACCTGAACTCTACGAACTGCTCGCCTGCTAGCCCACGTTTATATTGGTTGCTTTCCGACCAAAAGGAAAACTGTCGCGAAGAAAGTGAAGAAGGGCGAGGACAGCCCACTCGTCCAATTAGGCTACGATTTGATAGGGCGATGCCATAGAGTCTTATCCAATAAGATTCGGCTTCATTTTAAAACAGCGAATGACTAATGGTTAACTCGATGCGTTTCAAATTGCAAAGGTTTATATGTTTCCAAGTAGTTTCATAGGCTGTAAAATAATATCCAAATTGTCAACTCGCTTTTATGGAAGTACAATATTTCAGGCATTTAGCCTCCCTCCTTAAACGCTGTTTTGTTTTGAAACGTATCTTGTATGTGCAATAGAAACACATAAGTGACGACTGAATAATAATAATAAAAAACTTTGTTGGGATTCTTAAAAATAGTTTTTAAGCTTAACAGTTTTGCTTGTGTTTCTCTTCAGAAAAATCATAGGCGGGATGTAGAAGCATTTCAAACAAGCTGCTGACAAGGTAACAATCTGACAAACTCTTGATCGGGAGCCGATTACAGCATGAGGCAGTTTGTTACAAAAGAATTGCAAAGCAAATATGTATCTATTGCCATGGCTCGACAGAATCAAGTGTATTTTTCTTAGATTATTTTGAAATTTATAGATAAAAAAAATAAGCAGGAAAGAATGAAGTACAAGCGCACACATTGCAGAGCCTAGGGTAGGAAACTTGTATATAGTCTTATGTGGAATGCAATTACTTTCGAAGTGAAGGACAGCAATCATAAGAATCTATTTCAGCACTATCCCAAAGGTGCTTTTTTTTTCCTTCAAGAAGCAACTGGACTTTCTGGTTTTTCTTTAAAGACGTTGCGCTTCTCATCCAAGAAGCTTCTTCAGCTTCTTGGATGAAAAACGAAACGTCTTCAAAGAAAAACCAGAAAGTCCAGTTGCTTCTTGAGGGGGAAAAAAAGCACCTTTTTGACCTGGTATGATTGAGAATCTCTCTAGACATTTCAGCACTAGGAATATCCAAAGGGAAAGAATCGGCCAAGCTTGGCTTTACATATTATAAAGGCAAAAATAGGGTTTGTGCATGAGCCTGCAGCTCTCCCTCGCATACCAGAAAAGGGAATTCCAGCAGTTGCACAACTCTAACATTCGCAGCTGCCCTGAATAATAGTTCCTAATCGGCAGCCTTTCCTGTTACAGCAGCATTCCGAGATCACCTCTGGCGAAGGTGTGCATGCAAATCGCGGCCTCTCGCTTCCTCTTTCCTACTGGAGGAAAAACAATATTTCTCTGTTCAATTGGTCTTGCTGAGAAACCACTTTTGCATTGGCTGAAGCGCATTGACATCACAGCCGGCCAATCAGAAGTGCCGCTTTCAAACGGCGAGGCAGGCATAAATTGGTCCCCCTGTCATTCTCATCCCTTTAGGCCCTAAAGTGAAGGAAATACCTTTGAGATCGACAGAGAGAGAGAGAGAGAGCAACTCGTTTGAAAGCATGTCTGGTCGCGGCAAGCAAGGGGGCAAGGCGAGAGCCAAGGCCAAGTCTCGTTCTTCCCGTGCCGGACTCCAGTTCCCGGTCGGTCGTGTTCACCGCCTGCTGCGCAAAGGTAACTACGCCGAGCGGGTGGGCGCCGGCGCTCCCGTCTACCTGGCGGCGGTGCTGGAATATCTGACGGCGGAAATCCTGGAGTTGGCCGGCAACGCTGCTCGGGATAACAAGAAGACCCGCATCATCCCTCGTCACCTGCAGCTGGCCATTCGCAACGACGAAGAGCTCAACAAACTCCTGGGCAAAGTGACGATCGCTCAAGGGGGCGTGTTGCCCAATATCCAAGCGGTCCTCTTGCCCAAGAAGGCGGAAAGCCATAAAGGCAAGTGAACTGCTGTTGCCCAGCCGGGCAAGTGCTTCGGAACTCAACCCAAAGGCTCTTATTAGAGCCACCTACATCCTTTAAGAAAGAGTTGGACGTCTCTTCCTCTCCTAGAAATAACATCTTTTTATTTGCTTGCTCCAGCCTTTCCAATAATCGTCTAGTCCTCATACGGCTTTTAATAATGCGATCGTGTGTTTTTTTTTAAGTGTTTTTCCACGATCATTGATTTTTATGTGGTCTACAGGAGTTATAATCTGTCCACATCGTAGCCGTTTTTTCCCCAAAGTGGGATTAATTGGAGGGAGAAACTTCTAACGCGAAATTATGCATGACTGAAGGCCGATTTGAATCTGGGTCACCGAGGGATTTCAATGTTGTTAGGTAGAACTGATTCTTTACGCAGTTTTTTTAAAGTTTGATTCAGTGATGAAATCCAATTTTTTTTACTACCGCTTCTGTGGGCATGGTGTGGCTTGGTGGGCATGGCAGGGGAAGGATACTGCAAAATCCCCATTCCCTCCCCACTCTGGGGCCAGCCAGAGGTGGTATTTGCCAGTTCTTCCAACTGCTCAAAATTTCCACTACTGGTTCTCCGGAACCTGTCAGAACCTGCTGGATTTCACCCCTGGTTTGATTTCTTTGAGGACGGGGAAGGCCGCGTGTGCTGAGAAGTTTCAGTAACTGGTGGCAACATTACCATATGGCTCAAAGCTGTGGAAATCGGGTGTCCAAAATGTGGGAAAAACATGTATGTACATTCAACAAGATCAGGCATACACAGTCCAAACAGGAAAACAAAAAAATATCCTTCAGTTAATTCTGTATGTCTTCAAAGCAGTTTTGAGTTCAGAAAAACAAGAGTGGTGGTTATTCTCCATGGGGAAAAGTTAAGTGGGTGTCTTCATTTTATCATCAGGCCAAATATATATATATCCTGAGCTGAAAAACAACCACTACAAAATCCCCTAAGGTTTTTTTCACCTCCTGCACTAGTGATGTGTGTGTTTAGTTGCAGGAATCAAATCAGATTGTTAATTGAATTACTATCCTCAGAGCTGTGTTTCCTTCAAGCCTATGACTTTGGATGTAGTTTGGCAGCAAGCCATTACCTGGTTTTTGCTCTGTTTCCATGGAAATGGTACATTTCAACACCCCAACAGGTTTGGATATTTGGATATTACTGGAGTGGAAAAGGGAAAGTTCCAAAGCTAATGAAGGTTTGTTTTCTTCCGCTTTCCTCCCCTCCCACCCCGCATAATAATTGGTCTTCAGAGGGATTTTTCTTCTGTATTAATCAAAGGCAGGCAGACTGGGTTAAGGTTGGAAAGCACCATAACAGCACTCCTGGGAATGTACAAGTCACATTGTCCCCCAGCTTAAGCCTATTTTTGGAGCTGTCTGGTAAATAAAACAGTATTATTGAAGAGAGTTGTGTTGAAATGGCCTATATGGGATTAAATCAAATAAACTCTCAAATTCACTAGAAAAGGTTTACCTTCCATCAGGCAATTCGTTCTTCAGAATGAACAAAAAGGTATCTCCAAAGCCAACCATGAAAAGTTAGAGGCCAGTTAGCCCCCCTTTTTAAAAAGGGGGATGGTTGTGGGATAAAAATTGGAGGATGGAGAGGTAAGTGCAGTATATCTCCCAGTGCCCTGCCCTCTTGGAACTCAGATCATTGTGACTGTCTTGGTCAGTTCTTGAGGGCAGTGAGTTTTACAATATAAATGTAAATTTTATAGGTTATATTTTTGGGCACTCTCTTGACTAAGCTTTTAAGTGATGAAAAGTACTTTGAAAGATATATGGGGAAAAAAATGAAAACAAGTTTGCAAATATCATCTTAAAATGGAGGATGCTTGCCTGTAAAGCCATCTGTGATAGGTAGAATTGTCTTGGTAAGCAACATAAATCCAATCAAATTTAATTACTGAGCAACCTCCTGCCACCCCAAATTTATCAGATGAAAATACAAGTTCTTCTTGTTTAGCGGTCACAGTTGGAACCAGCCACTTGGTTGTTAAGAAAAGCAGTCTCTAAGTGAACCTACATTTGTGCTGTGGATCTTCATTTACAGCCCTCTGAAAGTTGCAAATGTGAGGAGAGGTCATAGAGTTACTTACTCTCTTGTGGGGTATGATTTTAGGATTAAAGAATTTAATGATGTTGAGATGTTGTTGAAACTGAATGAAGGTCTTACACTCTCAAATTTGCTCTTTTCTATGCCAAGTTTCTTTCCACTTTTGTGAAATGAATTAGGAGCGATGGATGGTAAGTCAGTTCAGTGCAGCTATTACTAGGAATGCAATAGAGCAAGATTTGGCAAAACAAGGTTGATCCTTCCATCCCAACACAGCTTCTGATTTAAGCCTTGGGAAACTCCAGGCCTGTGCAACATAGAGTAAAAGGAAGTGAATCATTTCTGACATCAGGAAAATAATATATCAATAGGCTTGAAACATTTCCATTTGTAAATTAATGTTTAGAGTCTGGGATTGTAGAGAATTGTGGTCGAGAATATAATCATGAATTTGAGATATGCTGGTGATATGAATAGATCTAACAAAATAGAGGCTGCATTCTTCTTCTCTGTCTGCCATGACCAGGACAAACTAATTCCTCTTTTTACCTAATCTTATCAGACCCAGATTGACTCTTCCTGCCCCTCTAAACAAAGCTCCCTGCAATCCCATCTGCACCAAAGAATAGAAGCCTCCTCACCAACTCACAGCACAGTCCAAGGGCAGCCCTAACAAAGGAGTTACAACATAGTAAGGAGTTGGGTGAGACTCCCTAATCTTCCCTCCTCCTTCATCAGATGACCTCCGCATTCCATCTCCTTTATCAATGGATTTGCTCAGTTCAGTTGTTGCTTCTGAAAGGGCTGCTTTGCCTAACAATAGAAATTAATAAGTAGATGGACAAACATCTATGTAAGCTTCCTCATAACTAGCCCAAATCACAATAGGATTTCCCACATTGTAGTTCTATAAAAATATATAGTTGATTTGTCTGGGGTCCTCTTTTGCTCTGGACTGCTGAATTGCCCACTATAATCTCCTGCAGTATTGGTTTAAGAAATGCACCCCAGACAAGAACAGGGTGTGAATATCGCTGCCTTTTTTCAAAGCAAAGATAAATCATAAACAGTATCTCAATGGATGTCTGCTGGAGACAAGCAATAGTAATTTTCTGGGATACATGAGACAATAACACCACCATAGGAGATGCATTAAATTCCTTTCACTTTGTACACGGAAAGAGGGGTTTATACACAACAAGCTGGGCTGGCAGCTCTTCCTATTTACATTTCTTTTTGTAGAAAGTTACCACCCCACCCCAGAAGAATGAAATCTTTTGAGAAATATTTAAAAGGCAGAATATATTCCCTTAAATATGACCTTCGCTCGTTTTGCCGTGATTTGAAGACCTTGTTATTTCGTAGCCTGGACTGATGGGGGGGGGGTTCTTAATAGTTTTTAAACTGATTTTAAATTGTTTAATTCAGACTTTTTAATTTAATAGTGTATTAGTGTTTTTGTGTATTTTACTGTTGTGAGCCGCCCTGAGTCCAATGGAGAAAGGGCAGCATATAAATCACATTAAACTTGAAACTTAAATGAGAAATGAAGAAACTTTTTTTTTTAGAGGCAGGAAACAGACTTTCTTAATAGCCCCAAAGATACTGAGGAGGCCACCTTTTTAAAAAAAGCAGACTTGGTAATCCACTCAAGACAGGATTAAAACCCCAAGGAAGCCAGAATCTAGGATTAATCACATTTGTTAAACAAGATTAAAAATCCAAGGAAGCCAGCCCTTTAGACTCATTACTTTCAGGAGACAAACTAATTAAAATAAAATAACAAAATTACACAAAACAAGCCTCTCAATTACAAAATGCTGTAGGGAAAAAAAATTCATGTACTCTTCAAACCAATTGGTCAGGTGACCCAGGACAGCTGGTGGTTCTGTTCATCATTAAACCATCTTTCCAATCAGCCACCATGTTTCCAGTGCCTTTCTCCCAGCTTGCGAGTGAACCAGATGGATATTTCTTCCCACACTTTCAAAACAGTCCTCCTGTCCTAGCCTGTAATTATAGAGTCCCTTATAGAGTACATCTGAGCTATATGCCTTTAGTGTTCTCGTTATTTGAATGTGAAACCCTCAAGGGAAGATAGAAGAAGGGGTTTAGAACCTCTCCCATTCTTTCAAGCAGATCCTCTGAACATGCTGAAATGCTTTAGTCTTCCGAAGGAGGGGTGGGGTGGAGGAAAGCTGCTTCCGTGTGCCAAAGTTGCATCCAAAAGATGGCTCCAAATTTTCTGTCCGCCTGCATAATCTCCTGTTTTGAGAGTCCCAAAAGTCCATTAAATAAAAAGCAAGTGCTTCTAAAAAGCAGGCCTGCTTTCCAACAAATTCATTGATGGTACACTGCCAATTTGCCCATATTTTTCAATCGAGGCTGTTAAGCGCAGCCAGCATGGACGGAATAACACTGTAGAAACAAGAATGCCAGGCTGCACATTGTCTGCCTTTGAGCTAAGCAGCAATTTCTTAGTCACTGATAAAAGAACAAATACTGGACAAGATGGATATTTGATGTGAAAAAGCTTCTGTCTGAGATGGACATTCTGGGGTCTGTGGATATAAATCACTTACATAATGCTCCATAATCAGGGTCAGCCTGATTTTTTTTTTCTTTTAAAATTATCATTTTAATTTAAAAAAAAGGAAACACTCTACAAGGAAAAGTATCATCACACATATAGATCCTACTGAAAATAGTAGAGATCATCCTGGAAAAGGGATTCCTATGAATTTTATCTAAGTATATGGCGTATCAACAGATCATGCAATCACATATACAAATATAAATTTAATTCCTGTGAATATATTTAATAAGCTTTGCCCATCAAGTTATTTTGGGAAAAAGAAAATCTCCCAATGTAGCCGTCTGGGCAGAATACATGTCAAAATTCAAACAGTATACCGTGTCAAATAGACTGCCCAAATAAAAAGCCAGTTATTTAAAACATGCTGCTTACAAATATTTTAATTGCAACTGGTGTATGCTATTGAAATATGGGACTCAAATTAAAACCTTTACAAACCTGACCTAAAGAAGCAAAACTATAATAGTCATATACGTACTTATCAAGATGTCTTTCATTTGAAAAGCTTTTCTTCTAACTACAAAATTATATGCACCCCCCCCCCATGTCTTCCTACAATGAAATCTCTGGGTATTCTTTCCTTAGAGAAAGAATTGGGTATCGTTGCGACTGATCCAGGTGAATTTACAAAGTTCCCATTTTAATTTTACAGCCAAGCTAATGGCCCAGGTATTAGAATGCAGACATTTCACTGCCAGAAAATTAAATGTCCAAATACGAAACCTTTATATGTAGTATTAAGGTGGCCTAACAAGCACACACAGAAAGTCTATTGAAAAAAAACTGAATTCATGAGCCTTTAAAAAAAAAAAAATCTGAAGCAAGCACTAATTCTTTTAAAGGTATCGCCAGTGGCACTGTAGCATATAAACGTTCTTTCATCGAGATATTACTGTGTGAACCATTGCAACGTTCCATTGGCTTAAGGCATGAAAAATGCCACTCCCCATTAAAAAAAAAAATACCCATAGCCACCCCTCCCAGGTCACTTTCCATAACCCAGTTAAAACAATGTGGGTGTAGAGAATGCAGTAGACTCCGTAGTCCACTAAGAATCCCTTGCCATGTTGAATACACATTTGCAAATTCAAATTTTGGAGGGCTGTTGGGAGTAGTGACGGTAGTGCTATAGCTCTAATAGTATAGCCCTAACAGATCCATGTGTATTGCAAAACGCGTTGACGTTTTCAGCAGAAGCAAAGCAGCAGCCCTTTCCTTGATATACGTGGGTGGCCCTTAAAAGAGCCTTTTGGATTGCTTTGCGCAACCGGACGAGAGGACACTTAAGCCCTCTCCCCGCGGATGCGGCGCGCCAGCTGGATATCTTTCGGCATAATCGTCACCCTCTTGGCGTGGATGGCGCACAGGTTGGTATCTTCGAAGAGGCCCACGAGGTAAGCCTCGCTGGCTTCCTGCAGGGCCATAACAGCGGAGCTCTGGAAACGGAGATCGGTCTTGAAATCTTGGGCGATTTCTCTAACCAAGCGCTGGAAGGGGAGCTTACGGATGAGCAGCTCGGTAGATTTCTGGTAACGACGAATTTCTCTTAAGGCGACAGTGCCGGGACGGTAACGATGAGGCTTTTTCACCCCACCGGTGGCTGGAGCGCTTTTTCGGGCAGCCTTGGTAGCCAACTGCTTGCGAGGAGCTTTTCCTCCAGTAGACTTCCGAGCAGTCTGCTTAGTACGGGCCATTGTTCGCCTATAGAGTAACCGATCCCAATGAAGTCGAAACCAGAAAACAGGCTAGTCTCTTGAAGGCTGAGTATTTATAGCGGAGTCCTCCTCTTTTGATTGGCTGAGAAGGTTCGAATTTCCCGGGCTTGGAAGGGATTGGCTACAATGTTGCACTCTTTCATCTCTTGCCTCTTTTGTACTTGAGTGGTTACGTCATCAATAGGACAGTCAGATTCTTTCAGCTATGGGTAATAGTGCTCTTACAAATAATATTTTGCTGATAAAGGGTCCCTTTCTGCGCTGCAAAAATCCGGACCGCCGATAGATGGCAACAAGGAATTGGAGGGTTTTTTTTAAATGTCTCACTATAGGCCAGTTCTCCATATTTTTGCAACCCAGATTTTAAATACCTCCAAGGTATTTTTTGTATATTCATCTACTTAGCGCGGACGCATATCATTTGCAAAAGTGTTGTTCTAATTTTGAATTGGTGAAAATGTTTTTAGCAGTTGTGGATGATAACCAGCGTGTGGGACAAATGAGACCCCGGAACTAATCCCTCAGCCACAGAAATGTATGAGATTGGGATCAACCCGATCTACCTCGCAGGGTTGTTGTAGGGAGAACACTACAAACTTTTTCTGTGTGTGTATTGAGTTTCTACACCAAGATATTTAATAAACACATGCCACCATTAAGCCCAATGTGCATTCCTATATTGCCTAAACAATGGGAGAGCATTTAAACTTGTATTGCAAGAGTTTATTCCTAGTTTATTCCACTTAATTTTTCCGTTTTATTTTTCATTCATTTTAAGCACTTGTTATGTAGAGTAAATGGTTTAGTAGTTGATTAGTCGCGACCTTGTTATATAGTTTTTCATTATTCTCCGCTGGCATACAGTATACGCTACTTTGGCTGGTCTCTAAAAATCAATCTAGATCGGCGGCTAGAAGAGGCCAAAAGTAGAAACTGGAAAGAAAGCGACTATTTCCGCGTTGTTCCCAAAATCTGCATGGACGCGCCCACGAAAGCTCCAAAGCAAATCGATCGGGCTCTCCTAGAAGTGGGGCGCTCCATGTTTGCTTTTTCCAACCATAATAAAATTGTATTATGAAGCCATGAAATCACTCTTCTAGGTCCGTACGATTAATTATACAGACACACACACACACACACACCTTTCTGATCGCATCAACAGCTGCTTATTTTTAAAAATTGATTTATTGCTGAAGAAAAGGGGTCCTACGGTTAAGTGCCCTTGGGCGAGTGTTATGGGATCGTAATTTTAGATTAAACATGGAAAAAACAGTTTGAATAATCCCGCCGGACGCGGCGATTTGTTAAGATTGCCTCCCCATCCTCACACGCTTTTATAATAAGTTAAACGGTGGGTGTTTGGAATGTTAACAGCTGAAGCCTTATGTATAGTAACAGGTGGGTTTTTCTAAATCTGTTCGATAAGGCAATATTCGCGATCATATGCAAGCCCTTGGCTAGGGAAGTGCCAGCTCCGATACGCTTTGGATCTGCGAAGGAAACGACTCATTCGATACCCTAAAAGACTCAGCTCCTTACTTGAAATTGTAGGTGGCTCTGAAAAGAGCCTTTGGGTTTGAAATTCAATGTTCCTGTTCTTCAGAGCAACTCCTATTTTCCTTTCGCTTTGTGGCTTTCCGTCTTCTTGGGCAAAAGGACCGCTTGGATATTGGGCAACACGCCCCCTTGAGCGATCGTCACTTTGCCCAGGAGTTTGTTGAGCTCTTCGTCGTTGCGAATGGCCAGCTGCAGGTGACGAGGGATGATGCGGGTCTTCTTGTTATCCCGAGCAGCGTTGCCGGCCAACTCCAGGATTTCCGCCGTCAGATATTCCAGCACCGCCGCCAGGTAGACGGGAGCGCCGGCGCCCACCCGCTCGGCGTAGTTACCTTTGCGCAGCAGGCGGTGAACACGACCGACCGGGAACTGGAGTCCGGCACGGGAAGAACGAGACTTGGCCTTGGCTCTCGCCTTGCCCCCTTGCTTGCCGCGACCAGACATGACGTCGTTCCTGAGTCAAATACAACACACCAAACGCCCCACACAAACCGGCAGTGATTGGAAAGGAGCGAACCGGGGGCCTTTTATGCCTTTGCAAGGTCTGAGATTGCACTGTTTGATTGGCTGCTCGGGCGTCAGGCTTTCTTAGCCAATGCGACGGCAGGTTTGTCAACCGAACCAATCCGAAGGAGTTGCAATCGACCCCTTCCAATAGGAACCATGGTATCGCAGCCCTGTTCATTTGCATCTGCGCGCGCAGAGCGAAAGCGAGCGGCGGCCCGCCAGCCAATGAGAACGTTGGAGTGCAGCTACCCTCATTTGCATAGGAGCCCTTTAAATAGTGGGAAGACGGAGGCTGAACTTGTTTCAGTTGTGTTTGAGATACGAGGATCGTCCAGCTTTTCCGACGAGAAGAAACTCGGGGGAAGTTGCTGTTCCTACTAGCATTTGTTGAGGAGTGACTTATTCGCAATGCCTGAGCCGGCGAAATCTGCTCCCGCGCCCAAGAAGGGCTCGAAGAAAGCGGTGACCAAGACCCAAAAGAAGGGCGACAAGAAGCGGCGCAAGACCAGGAAGGAGAGCTACTCCATCTACGTCTACAAGGTGCTGAAGCAGGTCCACCCCGACACTGGTATCTCCTCCAAGGCCATGAGCATCATGAACTCCTTCGTCAACGACATCTTCGAGCGCATCGCGGGGGAGGCGTCCCGCCTGGCCCACTACAACAAGCGCTCCACCATCACCTCGCGGGAGATCCAGACGGCCGTGCGCCTCCTGCTGCCCGGCGAACTGGCCAAGCACGCCGTGTCGGAAGGCACCAAGGCCGTCACCAAATACACCAGCTCCAAGTGAGGCGGCTGCGCTGCGCAGTAAGACGATCGAGAAACCCAAAAGGCTCTTTTAAGAGCCATCCCACTTCCTCGTGAAAGAGTTTTAAGTCGCTGCTTTGTTGTGTCCTTGCTAATTTAAAGCTTACCACTTGGGTCTGTCTCGTTAATAAAATGCAAATATAGGGCTCTTAAAAAACGTGGAAGATGCTGTGACTTAGGAGAAGAAATTTATATACTACAGTATAGGTCGAACTGATAAATCAGTGAAGCTGTACAGCACACATGTTTAATAACGATACCTTTTAAAGTAAGATTACCTTCTGAATTTAAGTGCAAATAAAAGTACAAAAGGGTTCATGGATTGGCAGGATGGCTTCCAGATCTGATCTTGCAGGTGCTGAGTTTTTGATATTTTTTTAAAATCCTGCCTATAGCAATTTTATAAATAACTCAAAGCTGTGAATACACATAATACAGTGCTTGACTAAGTGGCCATGGCACTGAAAAGAGTGACTTAATGGCTGTTTTTCAAATTTGGGACCTTTGCCACGTCCTGGTGGTCATGTGATCAAAATTCAAACCCTTGTCAAATGGCTCAGACATTATTTATGATGGTTACAATGTCCTGGGGTCTGGATCATTTTTTTTGACCTTCTGACAAGCCAAGTCAATGGGGAAGCCAGATTCAGTTAACCGTATTACTAACTTAACAGTTGCAGTGATTCACTTAATTGTGGCAAGAAACATTATAAAACAGGGCAAAACTCACTTAACACAGGTCTCCCTTAGCAACAGAAATAAATTTTGGGGTCAATTGTTGTAAATCAAGGACTACATTTACTTCTGTTCTCCTATTTTCAACACAACACTCCTGTAAGGTGGGTTGGGCTGAAATTGAGTGACTGATCCAAAGTCACCCAGATAGATTTCACTCTTAAAAACAAGAGTAAAACTCAGATTCCTGGTTTCTAGCCTGATGCCTTAGCTTCTAGACCAAACTGGATTTTCTACTCTTGGATAAGCTGTACTGAGTTGGTGACCTGGATTCAATAAATCTAAAGACTAAGAAAGGGAGAGATGCCTTCCTCTGTATTTCAGTTATTAAATTTATTTTAATGCTCAGGAGCTCACTATGGTTTGGTTATGAGCTGCCAAGTCAGTGTTTTCCCTCATCCATGTGGATGAGAGGTCCTGCCTGTTCAAGGCTTCCAACAGTGAACCTCCATCCATGGCATCTTGAGGAATCTTCTCTCTAACACCAAAGTTCAAAAGCATTACTAGTCTTTCTACCCTGCTTGTCCAATTTACAGTATCACATGGAAAACCACTACATGCAAGCTTCTGATTTTCTAACTATAGATGCATTATGGGAACTGAGTGTTTTTTTCCCCAAGACCTTCATTGCTACCTATCAAATGCTACCCTGAGGCATATTTCTTGATTACTGGTTCCATTGCTGTTGACAGACTATCCTAAAAGGCAGGAGTGATCTATTACTCCAGTGTTTCCATTGTCAGTTCCAAAACTGATGGCTAATCTGTTACTAGTTTAGTCTTCTTTTAATGTAATCCTAGTCCAAGCATATTGCAGCAATCCAAATGGGCAGTGATGGGGATCATGAGTTTATGATCAATTCAGGAGAAAAAGTACTTCATCCATTTAACTTACATGCCTCCCCCTATCTCACCATAGCAACTTTGGATGGTTAATACCGATATGAAATATAAAACAGAACAATATAAAAAACCTATAACAGCAACAGGAGACAAAATTCAATCAACAATAAATTAATATCTCGCAGGTTTCGACCCATTTCCTGACCTTCCTACCCAGATCAACATCCAGAGCTTTCAAGTTTAAAAAACAAAACAAAATAAAGGTTCCTTGAAGTATGTTTCTTTTCCATTCATCCCACTGCATATAATTAATTCAAATATATTTTGGTCTAACAGGCTAGCGGGAAAGTAAAGTGCAAAAAGAAAGTGTTGATGGGATGACTGCTATAGAACTCATGGAATCTCTATTTTGCCATAGTATTAATCTTCATATAAAATGTACTATGTTGCTATATCCTTACAATTATATTGTTTCCTAGTATAATTTGATTGCTTATCTGTACCCTGTGACTACCATTAAGTGTTGTACCTTATGATTCTTAATGAACATATTTTTTATGTACACTGAGAGCATATGCACCAAAGACAAATTCCTTGTGTGTCCAATCACACTTGGCCAATAAAGAATTCTAATCTAATCTAATCTCTAAATTTCAAGCATTCAGATTTGCACTTTATGATAGGCTGGGATGAAGCCATGTTCTGAGATGAGGATATAAATATGGTGTTAATAAAGTTATAGGTAACATTTGGTGGCATTCTTTACAGTAGGCGAATCAAACCTATATATAAATTACATAAATAAATAAATAATAAATAAACCTAGGTGGGTGATTTGGTCTAATGTATGTGAAGGAGATGTTTCAGAAATTAGCATAAATCATCTTCCTAAAATATTTGAACATCTATAGCACTAGTATTCAGATCATTACATTGCTACATTTGCTTTCTTCTCTCAGAACCTGCCAGACTCCTTGATAGATAGTAACCAATCCAAAAAATCATTTCCTCCCAAGAAAAATAAGGTTAACACCATCTTTACCAGCAGTGCACTTTTGCCATGTGTTGTTATCACATGGTATGCTTAAGCATAGTTCACACTATGGTTCATACTATAATAGGACTGCACTGAATAAAGTTTTCTGCATTTAGATGCTCTGAATTAAGCTGGTTCTTATTAATAATATGGCAACAAGAATGGCATTAGGATTTTTAAAAAATGTTTCTGTGTTATGTGTCTGCATAGTTCTCCCTTGATCCAGTTTAGGAAAATGGATTGGCTTTAAGAAATATCGAGTGAATTTTAATCCAAAATTTAATCTTGGCTTTTCAGTCCAAAACTGACATTATTACCCCTCCTCAGAGGGTGAGAGTGCTGATGACTGCATTTAGGAAGACTGTCATGCTCCAACATTTAAACTAAAGAGAGAAGCAGACTCAATAATGAATACAGTACTAGGATTAAACAGTACAAATTTAGTATCTCCAGTCCATTCTAGAGCACATTAGGTCTTAAATTCATTGCAATGAAAAATTCAAAATAAAAACTGTTCTACTTTTCTGTCTAGATATCTCATTTTAGAAAATCTATTTTATGTTGGCAGCATTTCCATTTCAGACAGGAAATAATGGGTCTGGCTGATAAAGTGGCTCTGAATCAACTGATCATTTAGTCCAGTATCTCTAGAGGTTAAGATTTTCAACCAAGAGTTGGCAGAAACTAGGTATTTTTGTCTGTCAAGGTTACATTGGAGGGTTGCTGCTATTGTAAACACATCATGCATAGAAAGAGAAAAAAAGGGGAAACATAAATCTAGCTAATAATATTCTACAGTAACCTAGCTATAGTTAAAATAGTTTCTGTGATACATCATAGATTATAATTCTGAGTAATGTGCAAAATAATTTTTGAATTGAATGTACACAAACTTCAGTCAATTCTCATTCTCTTTATTTACTGTAGTGTTACAGAAACAACAGCATTTCTTTAAAAAAAAAAAGAGTTTGGGTTTTGTTTTTTGGCAGACTTGTAATTTTTTCATGGTACAAAGTAATAGAAACCCCTAGGAACAGCAACGGATTCCGATATAATTTTGTATCAATTTTTACCCAGTTAAGTTTGTGGCAATTTTAGACTTGATCGATCTTCTTATGCAAAAATATATTTTCATCCCACCAAAACAGGGTTTTTTTTCCCCCCAGAACGTGGACAGGAGTATAATTATTCAACTCAACACTTGGGCAATAAGGAATTTCCTTATACGTAAAACCAGAAACAAAAGAAAGGCGCCAACATTTTAGTTTCAAACGGTGGCTTGTCATTGGTGCTTTCGAACTACTTTCCTTTCTCATTGGACAAACCCGAAGGGCAGAAACTTATGGCAGGATAGGCTCAGCGGCGTAAAGTAACCGCCCTTCAAGGGAAGTTTTCTTTCTGGTCGGGTTCTAGAGAATATAAATTCGCTGTGTCCCAGTTTATAGCACATTTTCTCGCGGTTTTCTGAGCTGAAAGGTTGAAGGAGGCTGAAGGATGTCTGGACGAGGAAAAGGCGGAAAGGGTTTGGGAAAAGGGGGCGCTAAGCGTCACCGCAAAGTCTTACGAGATAACATCCAAGGCATTACCAAGCCTGCTATCCGCCGTTTGGCTCGTCGTGGCGGAGTGAAGCGTATCTCTGGCTTGATCTACGAGGAGACTCGCGGGGTGCTGAAAGTCTTTCTGGAAAACGTCATCCGCGATGCCGTGACTTACACCGAGCACGCCAAGAGAAAGACAGTGACAGCCATGGATGTGGTCTATGCCTTAAAACGCCAAGGCCGTACCCTGTACGGATTCGGTGGTTAAACACGAGCTTTTCAAAATAAAACAAAAGGCCCTTTTAAGGGCCACCCACGTTTTCCTAAAAAAAGCTGAGTTGCCCATGAGTACCATTGCTATGGTTCGCAACGGAACTTATAATCGGTATAAACTACGAAATGAATGCATTTTGAGTAGTAATTGGCAGGGCTGTACAGGGTGGCGGAAGTAAATAAAATTGCTCAGTTAAGCGGGAGGAGCTAAAAGCAAAAAAAAAAAAAAACCTTTCAAGAATTGGCTTAAATGATTTTTCATTTTTTCATCGCGTTAAAGTATGCCCGGTTTTCGTTGGTAACTTCAAAATCGGATGCAATTGTTACCCAGATCAAGTCAGCAGGTTTGTTAGGGGGGAATGAGATTTTGGTCCCTATTAAAAACGGGGTTCCTACGAGGCATAACCGCATAATACGGGGTTTCCTATCAAACAATGGATCTTTCTCCTCCACCTGCAACTAGGAAGGCGTATTTCCCAGCAGTCTTTGTATTAAATCCTTTGTTTGCTCAATTGTGATGCAATATCAGAGGTGGCCAATAAGAATCCGGGGGCTGCTTCCGAGTAATAGCGGTCGCTTAGATACGGAGTTTGGTGGCTTCTGTACTTCCCAAGGAGCGAAGGCAGCGGGGATCTTTATTAAAATTTTAGGAGCAGAGAAAAGAAAGCGATGACACGTGTCCTTAGATTCCAGATCCAAATTTACTAAATATTTGAGGCAAATAGGGATTGGGTTTGATGTGGCTCCCGTTTTCAAATCTCATTTTTCTTTTGTTGGCTTCCCCCCACCCCACTCCTTTCAAACTTTGCCCCTTCTTTTTCGACTTCTGGAGACAGCTTGCTGTCAGATGAACAGACTCCAGGGACTCTTTACAACATTTATTTCCAATATGCTGTTGCATTGGGAAAAACAGCGCTTAGCTTAGATTGCTACTCTCTTATCCTTGATTTCGCTCTGGATTTCAGCTTCAGCTACCGTAGCAGAGCCTGCCTAGATCCCTGAGGCAGTAATAGCGGCAAAAAGGAAGAGGAGGAAGAACAGGAGAAGGACCTAGAACTGCTTCTGGGGTTACCCGATGGAGGCGACAAGAAAAAGGAGGAAGAAAAGCACCTCCCCTCCCACAGGTAAGTGTACTGTGTAGCAGTGAAGGAGAGCAAGGGAGTTAAAGAAAAAATATAGTTCTGTAGCTGCTAAAGGCACCTTTTTGGTTCCTTGGACTGGATATTCAAATGTAGGAGCTGCCACCTAGTGGCCCAGGAGAAGAAGGTTTTAAATTTGTTTCTGTATAAAATACGGTAAGTCTGCCCTCCTCCTTTATTCCATGTAGTATGTGTGTGCAAGTCTGAGTGTTCGCAGTGACTGCTCTTCTGGAGACAGTCCAAAGAAAAACCTGAAACTAGCCCTGTAACAGTAATGCAGTTAGCCCCATCTTGGAAGGCACCTTACCAGCAGAGAGAGATTTGTGCACTCAAAAAGACTAAACCGCTACTTGGTTAATATTTTGGTTAGGGCCAATCAATATGACACAAAATTGTGTGTAGGCTTTCAAACACTCCACACCCCTCTTCCAAGTGAGGCAGAGCATAAATCAAGGACAGTTTCTATCTGATTGGTTCTCCCTTTCGAAAGACATTCTAGCCCAGGGGTCTCCAACCTTGGCAACTTTAAGACTTGTGGACTTCAACTCCCATAATTCCTCAGCCAGTTTACCTTTGTTGGCTGAGGAATTCTGGGAGTTGAAGTCCACAAGTCTTAAAGTTTACCAAGGTTGGAGACCTCTGTTTCTTGAGAACTCAAAACAGCACCTCCTGGTGGACCTATTAAAAGTAATAAAAATGGTCACCTCCTCCCTATTCCAAAAAATAGGTTTATCAGACACGTATGTCATCCTTACCTTACCTCTCTACTTTGTTTCTGTATAAAAACTCAGAATGATGGACAGTCGCTGGTATTAAAATTGATAACATCCACTTGTGGAATGGTATCAGCTCTGCTCATAATAGCTATTTCAAAAAAAAAAAAAATCACAAGAGGTCTGGAAAAAGAGCAGCATGATTTTCCTTATATCCATATAAAGATCACCAGGGAGGATAAGAATCAAGTGAACAGGCAAAAGAGTGAAGAACTTTGCACATTATCAGCAACTTTTCTATCAGCTAGATCAGGGGTCGGCAATCTTAAACACTCAAAGAGCCATAAAGGTCCTAACCGGAAGCCCTCCCCCCCGTTCAATTCTGGAGCCGACGGAAATCCAGTTCCCCCACCATAGAGTCTCTTAGCGCAGAGTCCTTTTTCCTTTTACCAACCAGCAGCAGAGGTATGAAAGAGCCACATGTGGCTCCAGAGCTACGAGTTGCCGACCCTTGAGCTAGATTCTAACCCAGAGATGGGCAAATGCAGTTCCCTTGCAAACTCTTCCAAAGGTTAAAAAAAAAAAAGAAGAAGAAGTTGGGCTAAAGAATGTCATGTTATCCAGTGATTTTGCCAACTAGCCATTTTCTCTGTTGGAAAAATTGAATTGGGGGATTTAATCTGGAAAAAAATATTGCTCATCCCAGTAACCATTTTAGTCATTAAAAATAGGAATGCCAAAACTGGTAAAGGGACCACAGAAGAAATTATGACTGCTGGACCATCCAGGATTTCCAGTCAAGGCATTACATAGCTTTTGCTTTCCTATTTGTGTTAATAAGTTGCATTTAAAATGGAGGTGACATGATTTACCATTGCAAGAATATACCCTGATAAATTGTGAGCTTCTGCACTTGCTGGTGTTTGTCCCGATGAGTAGGATATTTGGACTTCTGATTTTCCTGTGAAATAAACCTGCTGGTTCTGGAGAACTTGCTTGATCTGCCACCTCCCACTAAACAATCACCAGGACTTACTATCCTTAAGACAAAAATGGGGTTTGTCCCTAGTAAAATCTCTTATATACATAGATGAATCTAGTCAGTTGTTGTAGTTTAGCAAGACATTTGAGGAGTGAGCGTACACCACCATTAAGGCCATTCTCCACCTGGCCTCAGGTAGGTGTGATCTGGCGCCGAAAACACCGACATGTAATGCATTTGAGGAAGCTTGTGCTGATGTAGAAAAGTCTGGTGAAGCGAAAAAGTAGGTTGTAATAGGCACTGACGGACAGTTCACCGGAGGTGTCGGCGTACTTTAGGGCCACCAATGGTGTGTACAGAGGATTTGTCTGGTACCGGAATGGTGGGCGTTCTTTTGCAATGATGTTGACTACAGCCTGTTGAAAGGCAAGATGGAAAGAGATTGATGGGTTGAGATATTTTTAAAAAGTATTCATTTAAATAATTTCTCCTCCGCTTTATCATTAAAACCATCCTCCTCCCCACCCAGTGGAGCAGATTCCCCTTCATCGACCTCCTTTCTTCTACTTCCTCCTTGCTGTTAGAACCATGGTTCCCGAAATGTGAGATTGACTTAAAAATGTGTATTTTTCTCTTCTGGAATCAGAAAGCCAAAGCTCAAAAGGTGTAGAGCATATTGTGATATATCCAGGATAGTCCCTTGAATTTTTAATTAAAAAGGTCTTAGGTTAATAGGACTTGGAAAGATATCCTTTGGCTGAGCCCTTGGACAGCCTGAGCCAATCAAAACAGACATGAAAGTGGGGTGAGACATAAGAGTCTGGACAGGTCATTCAGGAAAATCAGGTAAAAAGGTGATTGGAGGCTCACCTACTGCTACTATTCATGGAATACTAGATGCATAACAGGGTAGGCAGATGAGAATGGGAAGGGAGAAACTGCTGCCAATACCAATCACTGGAAGAGGATGGATTCTGCTTTCTATGATGGCAACAGACTTTGATAAGCATGATCTATCTATCTAGAACAGGGGTCTCCAAACTTGGCAACTTGAAGACTTGTGGACTTTAATTCCCAGAATTCCTCAGTTCGGCTGAGTCGAAGTCCAGAAGTTTTAATGTTGCCAAGTTTGGAGACCTCTGATTGAGAAGAACTTTCCTTCTGTAGGACCCTCATATCACTTGTGAGACTGCTCCTACCTTAGCCACAAATTCAGGGGACTGGCCCATGGTGGTGAATATTTCATGTGAGGCTGGTAGATAGATGTCCTTGAAGCTGTGCACAGTGGTGGCGTCAACTCCTGGAAACTGAGACTTGGCCACTTCCTCCATCAGTTTCATCTCAAATTCGGTGTTTATAGGGCCGGGCTCTACCAGAGAGATGCTGTGTAGGAAAAACATCCAAAAAAGCAGTTAGCATTTGGACCCAGAGGCCATCACATCAGAATTGGCCAATATTTTATTTTCACAGACGGATCAGCCTTTTCCCCTGTTCTTTATCCACTATCCTCACCCCTGGAAATCCCTCCCATAAAAGGCCTGTTTTCTTTGTGCACTTCCAAAGCTTTTAACTTGTATAAAAATTATACATCTAGAACAGGGGTGTCAAACTCACGTCGTCACGTCACGTATCGGGACTTTTTTCCTCTTCACTAACCCAGGCCGTGAGTTTGACAGCCCTGATTTAGAACATCTATCCCATTCTTCCTATTGAGTTATCATCTTAGGTGACCTCTTCAGTCAGGCTCTTCACTGTTGTTATCTTTTTCACAGGACATATTTGGGTCATTCTGTCTCATTTCATTGCATAGTGAGTCCATTGCCAGTGTTGCAAGTTGGGCCATGACCCACTGAAAACCTCTGGACATCTTTTATGAACAGACACACAGAGGATCCAATGAGTCTTTGAATTATGAATTCATCAAAAGCATATAATGGACTTCTAAGACATGAACGGGCATGGAATTTCTGGTGAATGAAGCAACATTTTTTAGACAAATGGGTAAGTCCTGTTTTGTTCTGAGACAAACCCCTCCCCTCCCCCGTGAATTCCCCCCCCCCCTTACTTGCAAATATTTTCCTAAAGCTGTGTTCTTTTCGAAGGACTTTTTTCTCAGAAAGGAGGGATAGAAGGAGATGTCTCCAGATAATGCTCTGTTATCCTGAGTATGCACTGCAAGGGTTTGAGTTAAATTCATTGTATGTTCAAGATCCAGGAGATTTGTCTTGGGAACCTAAAGGTACTGTCTCTCTGCTGTGTTGGATGAAAGAACTACAGATGAATCCAGGTTAATCTTAACAATTTGTGATCAGTGATAGCTTTAGGGGACAATGCTGGATGGCCAATCTGGCCCCAGGTTTACAGACCTGCTGATTTCTGGATGCCTAGGGCCTTGCCTACCCTTCTAGGCTACCGCTCAATTGCCCTATTCTTTCAGTCCCAGCCTGCTTGCTTCTGAAGTTGACTCTTCAGATGTGCGTGCTTTTTGCCCTCATAATTGGCCATTCCATTCTATTGGTTGTTTTTGGCTTTAAATTTTGGCTTCCTAGGATGGAAACGAGCCTGTGGTTTGTCCCAGGCCAGATATTATGTTAAAGACCGAAAGGAGAGCCCAAGTTTCTTAGCGGTTCTGGCTGGTTGGAGGAATCAAACGGGCTTAATTTAACAGCAATGCACCAGGCTACGGCTCATTCATACTGAGCCAGAATTCTGAATAATTCCAGGTTGATGGGATATCTGATTATGGCCAAAACCTAGCGTGAATAAGAGTATTGTGGCTATAGTAATATGCATCTGCATGATTGTACAACCATCCCCCAACTCACTGACTTCCAGATGTGCAGGACAACAGCTATTATCCCCAACTAGTGCAGCTATTGATTGCTGGCTCTGTGTATAAGATTTAACTCTCCCTTGCTTTGTTTTAGCTGGTTCGTGCCAGAAATAATGTATATACACCTCCTTGGGAGGGCTGTTTTTCTTTTTTTCCCCTTCACACATTGATAATGTTTTGAAATTCAGATTTAGAACATGGCATTATAATAATAGTAATTAAGACTAATGTTTTCTCAGCTTTATTTTTCTTGCCGGCTGCAACAGGCTTAACCCCAAATGACTCCCTTAGACTCATAACAATACTCATGCCAACGTTTGTACTTTACTACATCGTCTCCAATTTTTCCAGCTTTGGCTTTGGATGTGAAAAAGAAATATGGTGACTCTGAATTTAATTTAAAACACAGATTTTCGTTTTTAAATTATTAACAAATGTTGGCTTGCAACGGCGGTGCAAAATTTGTATTTCATACTAAAAACATCCAACACGGTCTTGTTTCAAGGCACATTGTGTATACTACCATGATTTGCAGTGCAGATATTAAATCCACCAGATTCTGGGGGATGATAATTCATGGGTTTTATGATCCATGGAGCAATCTGCATAACTAATGTTTACTTATGAGATGGTATGCAGGATGTATGCATCTTATCTTGTGAGAGGGTGGGATTTTGCTAGTTTTAGTATGTCAGTTTTTCCCTGTCTTTGCTCTCTTCAGCCTAGTAATACCAGAATTCCTAACTAACGTGGCCCAAAGCAAAGAATCCTGGGAGCAGGAACTATGGAAGGTAGCCTAAAATTATCATTTGCCTTCATCATGGGTTTCCTAGAGCTGCCTTTCAAAAATGCTTGGTGTTACAGAACTTAGAGCTGAGCTCTAAGCGAGCTCAGAGAGCACCAAAGACCCCCCTCATTTCAACCCTGAGCTACAAATATTGGGTCTATGTCAATTCTCAACAGTCAACTCACCATGGCCAACTAACCACAGGACAACTCATTGCAGGACAAGAGTTACACTAATTTCAAAGAAATGGTAGAATAGAATCATTAAAGAAAGGATGCAGAAGGAGGGACAGAATGAAATGTGAATGGCACAAATTAAAATATTTTAAAATTTATTTTAAATAATTAAATAGAATTGTTAAATTGTCCCGTGGTGAGTTGTCCAGCAGCAAGTTGGCTGTGGTGAATTGGCTGCAGTGAGTTGGCCGTGGCAAGTTGTCCCATTCCAACAAATATTCCCCTTTATTGACTTCACATCTATTTTGACTTCACATCTTGTGGTTTCCCCTCATTACTGTGTAGTAATTACACAGTAATGAGAGGGAACCACAAGATGTGAAGTCAAAATAGTCTTGAATTTGTTTAATAGTAAGATGGGGCAGAGGGAAACTTGAATAGGCTTTTAAAATTTTATCACGCTATCTTACTACATTGGAAGCCAGCTGAGGATGGTGGTTAAAGGCTGGAAACCAAGGGACAAGTTCAGTTCATGCCTTAGGCAGAAGCAGAGAAGATCGCCACTTGCAAGCAGACAAGCAGAGATAGAGAGTGTACGCTGCGCTGTGGGAAAAATGAGAGGCCCTGTTTTCCCGCAGAGCCTCCTGTTGCTTGAGTGGGAGGGGAGGGGGCAAGGAGAACGGCGAGACTCAGGGAGTAGGTCAGGTGGAGCTGGCTGACTCAGGGTTGCTCAGAAGCCACCCCTGCCACTGCCAGATGTTTGGGTGCTTCGGCTTCAGATCGCTCCCTCAATCTCTCTCACACACACACAAACAGAGGTTGGATAGCTGTCTTGCTCTCTCTCTCTCCAAGCACCCCATGCACAGCCCATTTGAGGAAAGGGCATGCACGGCTGGGTGTGTTTGGCTGCAGGAGGAAGCACGGCGCAATGGGATTGTTTTGTTCGCCACAGTGGTGCTTCGGGAGGGCAGGCAGATGTCTGCAGCTGACAACTATAATGAATACATCCACCTGCCCTTCTGAAGCACCACCGCCGCCATTTGCTTTCGTTTCACAGCGGGAAAAGGAAGGAAGCGAACGGCGGCACCACAGTGGTCCTCCAGGAGGGCAGGTAGATGTCTGCAGCCAGGCGGGGAGGGATGGCAGCGAGAGTGGTGGTGGCCCCTTCCAAGTGCACAGAGGTGATGGGCAAGGCAGCCTCGGCATGCCTGTTAAGCAGGCAACCAGGCGGGAGCAGGGCCAACAGGGATGATTGCTATCAGTTCAGCGAACTGATGCCAATCATCACTACTGGTTCGCCCAAACCAGTAGGATTTCACCCCTGGTGGGACTTCAACTACATAGTCATGTCTCCCATCTTGACAAGTTCTTCCCCTTTCCCTTAGGGTTTTGTTATGTTCCGCCAGGGAGAAACAGGATTTTCCACAGCTGTGAAAATCCTCCTTGGTTATCATATTTTGCAGAATGGCAAAGGCTTTTATTAAAAAGAAAATGTTTGCCTTGGTTATGAGGTTATTAATCATGTTTTGTGCTGTTTAGAATGTACTAATCAGTGCTAGCATGTTTTCTGCTGCTATTTTATAGATTGCACTTAAGGCTGTTTAATTTTCAATTACATTATTGGTTAAATTGTCTATTAGCCTCCTTAGTTATTTTTAAGAAATATGTACCGTATTAGGAATATCAGATATGGAATGTCAGCGTCAGAATTGGGACATCAGTAAACCAATTTAAAAGTGTCATTACTGCTAATGCTACTAGTCAGGAATATTGAATGCTTTAATATCTGATTGCCTGAAATAAACAAATCTTCTCCTTTGCTTATATTTGAGAGCATAAAAATAAGAGGTGTGGGTTCAATTTCTTTTACAAATAGTGTCTAGTATCCTGTTTCCCCGAAAATAAGACATCCCCTGATAATAAGTCCAATCGGGCTTTTGAGCGCATGCGCTAAAATAAGCCTCCTCCCGAAAATAAGCCCTCCCCGAAAATATTTAAACACAGAGCTGGAAATCAGGTAAGATGGCAAGAGGAGCCCCATCTTGCTCCATGTGCCCCAAAATAATAAGACCTCCCCGAAAATAAGGCCAAGCGCTTACTTCGTGGTTCAAAAAAGTATAAGACAGGCTCTTATTTTCGGGGAAACATGGTATATGCACCTATGTTTACTTACAGCAACAAGTAATCCATGTCATCCCTTGATGATTCCCCCCCACTTCGAAAACACTATTTTTTTTAAAAAAAAGACTAACTTTCAGAAGCACATCTCTTCTTGAAAGATTTCCATCCTATCACGAGAGCTCTCGAGAGCCTTTATTGATTTTTCATTTTTCCTCCTTTTGTGTTTTTGTGCTATTTCTGCTGAACCTGAAAATGTTGCTGAGCATGAATATAAGAACTCAGATGCACATGAGGCTAAATAACATGCAGTTGCCCTTCTAATGTTTGCTTTATGGTAATGTAAAGCGCCTGGAGATGGGTTCTGATAAAGACTCTAAAGTTAAATTGCTTCTTTGTCTGCATGTTGTACAAGATTCTCCCCCCCCCCTTGGTATTTAGAGTAGAAAATAAAAGACTCTTTCATTGAATTCAGAACCCAAAGCCCCCTCCCCTCCCAATTCTGTTTATATATGGGGAACCTGACTTCAGTTCAGAAGATGCTTAGTAGCTTCCATCACTGTGTCTGATAGCACCAAGTGACTCTAGGACAGGGGTGTCAAACTCAAGACCCAGGGGTCAGATCCTGGAAACAGTGAAGGACTGGTCCATGGTACCTCTGCCAGGCGGCTCTCCCGAGTTCTATTTTTGCTGGCAGAGTGTTGCAGGAGGCTGTCGCAGCCAAAGACAGAGCTCAGGAGTCCATTTTCTCTGGCAGAGCACTCGAGCCACCACAGGTGCCCCCCAAAATGAGTGACGTTGAACTGGCTATGCCCCCCTGGCCACACCCACTCTGCCGACCTACCAAGTCAAACACAACCCTGATGCGGCCCTCAATGAAATTGAGTTTGACACCCGTGCTCTAGGGGTAAAGAGGTTCAGAGGCCCCTGCAACTCTGCCTGCCCTCCAGGATCTTGCTGACATCTCCCTTTCCCTGTCCTCAGTTCCTATTTTTGATTGCCACCCCCACCCTCCTCTGCGAAGTGACTGAGTTGGTTCCGTTTCACTCACAAGATATTGAATTTGAGGAGCTGCACAGCAAGGCTTTCACAGAAACCCTCGATGGCAAACTTGGAGGCAGCATAGACATCATTGAAAGGGATACCTGGCAAAGAAGTAGAAGGGGTGTAAGTTTTCAAGGTTTGTTCCATCTATTCTTATATTTTTCAAAGGTCCTTCAGTGCTTTAGAAAAGTGGACAGAATTGAGAAAATGTCATGGGCCTGCTCAGAAAATGATGGGAGTAGCTGGTAACTAAGCATCTTTTTACCAATGGCAAATGGGAGGTAGGGCCCCTCTAATTTCCAGATTGCTTCAATTTGCCATTTTATTTTAAGAGCAAATGGGCACATATTTAGACAAAGGGCTAATTTTCAGCCATCATTTTTTCCCCCAGAGAGTGCTTCTGAAATCAATATAGATCCCAGGGGTATCCTTGGAAATCAAGATGAACCTTGAAGTTAGTGCTTTGGTTTGTAGCATGTTAGGTTTCCACTGAATTGTTTAAAAATCAGTCCAGTGTCTTCCAGAAGTGATGAACTTCCACTTCCATTCAATGTGATAAGCCTGTACGTATGGAAGGAAATTAGAAAGCTGAAGTCCAATATGCCAAAATGGGGGAATATTGAGGCTGTTAAACAAGAATTTTCCACTCAAATCAAAATGTGAGGACTTATTGGATGGTTGGCCACTGAGACACTGAAATGGGAGGTATACATTACAGCCTATATAAATCAGGTATTTTGTAATGAGGGACAGGAGACTTATAGTAAAGCCAGAATTGTGCATTATCTCGGCACATGCAGAGCCTCATTTGCCAACGTAAGATGAGCTGCAAATGTGAAAATTGGAGTTGTTCAGAATATTTTTAATGAATGTATTCTATCTTTGATGTTGAAAGTTGGGACGTGTGAGGAATATGATCTCATAAGAGGCCATGAAATCTGTATATCCATAATAATCTTTACACCCATAACGTCTAGGGAGCTAGGACAAGGCTTTATAGAGGCATTGATTTAGAATAAGGGCTCTGCTTCCTCTCTACGCCCCCTCCCTCCCTCCCCCCCTGCCAGGAGTACGGTTCATACCTTGCAATCCCATGACACTGCTGATGACCACAATGTGCCCTTTCTGACGCTGCTTCATTGCAGGGAGCACAGCCTTGATCATGCGGATGGCACCAAAGAAGTTGGTCTCAAAGATGTGCTTCATGGTATCGATGCTGATGGTTTCCAGGGGCCCAATGAGCCCCACACCAGCATTGTTCACTGAGAAGCACAAATCCCACAGTTTAAAACATTACCCTCTACTAATCCTCCTTAACTCTGTAGTTTCTTGCACCCCTGCAGCAATGTCCTCTATGGAGACCGCCATTTTGTTTCTGCTTTAGGTTCTGTTGCTCTTTACCTGCATCCCTGTTTCTTCTTCTTCTTCTTTCAAGTGTTCTAGCAACAGCTCTCATTTCCTTGATAAGAGGGATGGATCTGCTCTTCCTAGGAAAAGGGTGGTGTTTTCCTCAACAGCATTGTCGTGGGACATTTTTGTAATCAAAGCTCACATGTGGCCACTAAGGACCGGACTTCCTTAAGGAGAAGCAAAGAGACTGCTATGTGGAAGCCACTCGGTGGTTGGGCTTAGCCAATGCAACAGAAGACTAGTTATCACAAGCATGGCCAAAGTGCTGGGTGAGGACTCAAATACTCAGCCCTTTGAGATATGTAGGTCAAGAAGCTACATTGCAGGGATTCCATAAATGCTTCTTTATTGCTGTAGGGCATCCCTGCAATGTTAATATTAAGTCTTGAAAATGTTCTCTGCTCCATTTTATACAAACAAAATCAAAATGGGGTTATTTTGACTATCTTTCTGACATGTCATTTTATCAGTGGGCTATGTAATCCCTTCTCCAGGTCCCTCTAATGGCTCCTTCCTTCCTTCCTTCCTTCCTTCCTTCCTTCCTACCTACCTACCTACCTACCTACCTACCTACCTACCTACCTACCTACCTGGCTTTCTCATACCTTCCCCAAGATCAGTTCTGAATGTTTTTACAAATTATACATCTAGAAAAATGAAAACGTAATTTTTCACTTCACAATGTGAATTTTCACATCTCAGTGCCTGGATGTGGAATCGCTCAACTGAAATCCCCCCCCCATCTCTTTTTTTCCTCTAGACACATTTTTACCTCATTTGAAAGAAGTACGTCTGCTTTTAAATTATGTTTCTTTTAAAATAATGGAAAATGTCAACCATGCAACATTGAATAAAAACTAATTAAAAAAGAACAAAATGAGAATTGCCTAGACATTCCCCCAAAGAAGAGGAGAGATCTGCTTCAGTTAATTTAGTAGGTAATTGAGTTTTTAAAAAAATGTTGGATATATTTCCTGACTTTTCTCCAGGAGCTTAAGAAGGAGCATATTAATGCTTTTCCCCCTCCCTCAATTCATGACTGACTGTGTTTCCTGTCTGCAATCTAACCATGGACCATACTGCTCTACTACTTGGGGGAAGGCTGTTTGTAGAGAATGGAATGTTTTAGGCCTTTCCAGGCCAACACCTTATAGACGCATTGGCGTACAATTTGCATTGGCCATGTTGGATATTGGGATTTGTGGTCCACATGTCTGAAAGGCATCCAATTATAGAAAGTTATTCAATTATTTGGAACTTGATGTTGATTCTGGGGTTTTATTCTTTCTACCCCCAACAAAATATTACATTATGTAAAGGAGCCCGAGACTGCCCCATCTGTGCACATCATCTGCCCATTATTGTTTTTTACAGGTAGTCCTCAACTAATGACCATTTTCATAGTTACAACAGCACTGAAAAAAATCGACTTACAATCAGTCTTCACACTTATGACCAATCACCACAGTCATGCGATCACAATTTGGGCACTTGGCAAATAGTATAGATTTATGACTGTGAGTTCCCAGGTGGCTTCCAACGGGCAAAGTTAAAGGGAGAAACCAAGGTCACTTAATGAGCACGGTACAAAAATCATCAAATCAGGGATAGTTGCATGAAGTCTCACTTAATGACCATATTGCTTAGCAACAGAGGTTGTGGTAATAAGTTGAGCCTGTATTGTATCAATGTGTTTTTAGCCTCCCAAGGCTAAAATTCATGAAATGGACAAATATAAAATGAGTAAATGAATACATGAATCATTAAACAATAGTTCTCTGAAAACTGAACAGGGCAGACAAAGGTGAAGAGAGGGTGGGAGTGGGTGGGGGAGAAGTTGTCAAAAGAAAAAAAAAGATAATGTTTGAAAATAAGTTCAAGGTGGGAGCTGCAGGGGGAAAAAATCCAGAAAAACTGTCCATATAGGAGATGTAATTAGACACTGATTTGGAATGTTGCTGACAGCTCCTTTTGAAGCTCCCTCCCTTCTTCACCTTGGTACGGAACACATGTTACCCTCCCTGGATTTCCCTGTGCACATGCACACACAAGCACATAGAACTAGTCAAGGGGAGCGCAGAAATATGCACATGCACAGAAATGCATGCAACTATATTAAAGAGAAATGGCTAGTATATACTGTTGTGTAAAAGTAAAAAGTTGAGGTTGTAATGTTATTTTCTATTGTGCTAAAGAGAGTTGGAAGACAGTGACTTTTTCTTTCCTTTTGTCTCTTTACTCCATATTTTCTCTTTTTTTTCTTTTTTTCCTCCCCCCCATTTTCCACTATTTAAAATTTTATACATTGATAAACAATAAAAATGTATTATATAAAAAAAGAAAGAATTCCAGAACCCATGCTCTTTTCCTTACTTTGTTTTTTAGGATGTTCTATTAACCATTTTACGTGCAGTAATTTGGTTGTCGGGATGAGCATACTTTGGATCATATTTATGTACAATCTATGTTGATTGGTGATAAAAAAATATGGCTTTAATTCTGACGCCCAAAGACATTATTCCTACAGTCAATTGGAAATATGCAATGCTAGTAATTTAGTGCACACATTGTATCTCAAGAGTTCACTCCCAGTGTGGAACTCAGTTGGAATTTGGCAATTTGTTTGCATGCATGCATGCACGCAATAAAATCTGCTTTGTGTATTTGGAAAGTTAATATTGTCTTGGCCATAAACCATCACAATCTCGAAAAGCAGGTGAAGAAAAAAAAAGATGTTTTGAAACATCTGTTTTAAAGTTATTACAGGATTCTGGGCCCTCTACTGAATATCACATAGTGAATATGTAAAAGACTTGGAATAAATTGTCAGAAATATATAACAGCTGATGTTATCTAACACCACTTGCATCTCACCTTGGAGCCAAGAGGCTCAAGTGACCCTGCGAAGAGGCCAATTCTCAAGGACAGAAGGGGGAACAAGAATTAGGGATCAGGCTTAGCCTTAGAGGAAGGGGGAATTATGAAATTTCCAATCCAGCACTCCTTTCACTCAAGCCCAATAAGAAAAGCTCCAGGATTTGAGTTTGAGCTACGATTATGAAAGACAGAAATGCAAAACCCATCAAATAAACATTTGGGGATGCTGTTTAGTTTGAAGGAATTTGGGGCAGAGCCTACCCCAGCTTTCCTTCCTCGTGAGAACTGGTGTAGTGCAGTGCAATACTCAAAGCAATCTTTCTCAATCTCAGCAACTTTTAAGATGTGGGGATTTCAACTCCCAGAACACGTACTGGGTGGGGAATTCTGGGAGTTGAAGTCCACATGTCTTAAAGTTGCACAGGTTGAGAAACACTGATTTAGAACAGACTTTCTCAACCTGGCAACCTACAGATTGTATTTCTGATCATCAGTATAGTTGTGACCAGTGGTGGGATTCAGCCAGTTCGCACCACTTCGGGAGAACCGGTTGTTAACTTTCTGAGCAGTTTGGCAAACTGGTTGTTAGGAGAAATCATTAGGGCAGAGAACCAGTTGTTAAATTACTTGAATCCCACCACTGATTGTGACATATTGTCAGCCCTTCACACACATAGCATATGAGTGCTATATAGCACAGTCACGCTGAAATTATGGTACTTGCATGCATCAGAATAATTTATTATAAAGTACAATTCCCCTTAGCTTTATATCATAAATATGACCCACCTGCAGTCTATTTAAAAAAAAAAAACTTTCTTCCAGATCACCTACCTAACACATCCAGCTGTTTCTCAGGAAGGCTGTTAACGCATTCAGCTACAGATTCATCACTACAGACATCCAGGCGCTGAATGGTGAGGGTCTGGTTGAGTGTGTCCCCCGCTGCTGCCTCCAGCTTGTCCTTTTTGCGCAGGTCACGCATTGTGGCAATGACTAGAAGGAAGAAAGAGCTTAAATGCAAGTTGCTCATTCTATGGATGGGGGAGGCTGAGACGTTAAAAAGTGGACGACAAGAAACTTTTATACAAGGAAGGTTAGAATTACTTATTAAGATATCTAAAATAACTTGAAGAACATAGTAACAATGAAGTGAAGGCGATGATGAAAAAATTGTCCCAGTATCCTTGCATATATTAGTCATTGCACTGGAAACCTGGAACAGGTTTATCTTTGACTTGAAAACATGCGTGGAATGCAGCACTAGCAATTTTCTTAGGTGTCCGTAGTTATATAGTCTAAACTAAAAAAAGTTGACTGAGATTGTGTGTCAGTATGTTTTCTGCCTACTTACCAGGATGCATGGTTTACAAATTACATTGTCTTGGTATTTGGAAGTCCAAAAGAGAGTTTCAGTGCAATTATTACAAATACAGGTAATCCTTGATTTACAGCAGTTTGTTTAGTGACCGTTCAAAGTTACAACGGCACTGAAAAAAGTGACTTATGACCATTTTTCACATTTATGACTGTTGCAGCATCCCCATGGTCATGCGATCAAATTCAGATGCTTGGCAACTGGTTCATAATTATTTATTTATTTATTTATTTAATTTGATTTATATGCCGCCCTTCTCCAGAGACTCAGGGCGGCTTACAATGTGCTAAGCAATGGCCTTCATCCTTTTGTATATTTATACAAAGTCATTTTATTGCCCCCACAAACTGGGTCCTCAATTTACCTACCTTAGAAAGGATGGAAGGCTGAGTCAACCTTGAGCCTGGCAAGATTCAAACCTGCAGTAATTGCAGGCAGCTGGTCTTAATAACAGGGTGCTTTAGACCACTGTACTACCAAGGCTCTATTTATGACGGTTGCAGTGTCCCAGGGTCATGTGATCCCCTTTTGTGACCTTCTGACCAACAGAATCAATGGAGAAACCAGATTCACTTAACTAACTTAACAGCTGGGGTGATTCACTTAACAACTCTGTCTAGAAAGGTTGTAAAATGAAGCAAAGCTCACTTAACGAATGTGTCACTTAATAATATAAATTTTGGGCTCAATTGTGGATTACCTGTAATAATCCATCTGAGTACAATATTGTAAGTTACACCTCCTGAATACTTTCTTGGGGGGATGGCGACAAAGAACTGGAAGCCACAAGGAGCTGAAAGGCTGGGATGCTGGTATTCAGGGAGCTCTCCCTCCCAGACAGTCTCTTCTGTTGTGCAACAGACTGTATCAGCCATCCAAAGTCCAGAAGGGCTGCTCAAAGGAGGGAATGCTGGCTCTTGGCCAGGGTTCAGCAGGGTAATTGAGGATTCATGCGCTGTAAGCTTCTTAAGGGCCATGATGCCAAATCCCTCTGTGTCTAATCTCTTCTTTGAGGGTGAACTCTGTACATGTGGTGTATGTGTGTGTGTGGTAGGCAGAGGAGAGATAATTTGTTGTGAAACATTATGGACAGTATAAGATCCATTCTTCCTTCCTCTCTTCTGTTTCTCCAGATTTTCTGCATAAACTTATCTGCGTGCCCTCTTTTCAGACAATAATTATAAGTATATATATTCAAGTATTAATTTTATTTATTTAGCAAGAACATATTAGGTAATATATGTAAGTATAAGCATGAATTGAATACATAAAATAGATACGAATAGAGTAAACATTAGGACAAGAACGATAGGCAGTATAACAAATTATGAAAAAAATAACTTTCTGTACATGATTTACTTGAACATATAGAGCGAGGGGGGGGGGGTGATACCCATTGTAAATAAGCCCTAGGGTGTCTGCTGATGTCACCTTTACTTTGAATTTTTAAGTATTTAACTGAAAAATAACTGAATAACTGGAAAGAAGTAATTACAGGAAGTTCAGCCCATTCATATAGGCTGAAGAGGCATTTTGGGAAAACAGAAAGGATAGGTATTTGCAAGCAGCCAGAAAGGGCATCTATCTTTCAAGAAAAAAAGAACAAAGAAGGGATCATCCTTCGACTAGAGATGGCAACTGGGGCATCTTTCCTAGTTTGCATTTTCAATGTCTTTCTGGGATACTTCTTGTGTTTTTCTGGGAACTGCTAAGCACAAATGAGCTAAAAGGTCTAACCAACTATGTTATATTTCCATTCCATGTTGATGGTAAAAGGTGAGGCTGATTAGACTCAATGCCTAAAGCCAGTCAGAGAGTCCCTCTGGAAGTGATATTAATTGTATATGTTTTGATTCACATTCCTCTGGATTTTAAATAATAGTTATTATATCTTTGTAGTCTAGTCTTCACAATGTACCCAATTCCGAAATGTAGATTCTGATTTATTATCAGACAGGACCGTAGCATTCTAAGGCTCCTTTTTTTTTTTTTGAAAAAAATAAATAAATTTAGTTTCTAGTTCTCATAGCTGAAGAAAAATGGCTTTAAATATTACAATAAGCTTTCTTTTACTGTCTTTGCTCTGACATTACCTTTCACTCTTATTCATGCACCCAACCAATAACTTGCCTCTTCAATATCCCATTAAGCCTCCTTCCCCCTTCTTTTTCTCATTACAAAAGAACTAACATCTCCTCCCATATAATTTAATGGAACAGAAATGGATTATCTGCCAGGGGAATGTAAATGAGAGAGAGAGAGAGAGAAAAAAAAAGATTAATGGGAAATTCTAAATTCTTCTAGCAATGGTATTTGTGATTATGTGAAGGCTTCAGAAGGTTGCTTGGCTTTGGGAAGCAAGCCCAGAAATGAATTTTATATATAAGTTTGTGTGAATGTGTGTATATCACGTGCTGACTCCACATAATACCAGTACTGTAATATCCCTTGTGCATATAACAGGGGTATAAGCTGTGAAAATTACTTGCTAAGCATCTTAATAAAGACTCATATAACAATTACAGAGGATTGGTAGTTTTGTCTATTGGTTAAGCCAGAACCCAAGAGACTGTGAGTTCTAATCCCACTTTAGAACTCACAGTCTCTTGGGTTCTGGCTTAACCAATAGACAAAACTACCAATCCTCTGTAACTTTAGGTATGAAAGCTACCTGGACAACTTTCAGCCCAGCCCATCTCGCAGGGTGGTTGTTCTAGGGAAAATGGGAGGAGGAAGGAATATTAGATATGTACACCACCTTGAGTTATAAAAATAAGGCAAAAAATTAATAAATAAATAATTCACCAGTAGCTGTTTTCTTATTAAAAAAATAGCCCTTCCACGAAATCCTTGAGACATTTGTCCATGTAGCATGTACTTCTATCCAGCATGCTCTCTGTTGTTATGCATTCAACTTTTCTATCACTGCACACTTTTGGGGTACTTAAGGTACAAATATAACTTCTCCAAGGAATCCTTGTGTTAGGCTTATAGCCTTTTATTCCTGATGCCCTTTGGACTCAGTGTGTCCGTGATCACCCAGTTACTTGTCAATAGCACTTTGTTTCCTTTATTTATTTATTTTTTTGCTAAAAGGCCACCTCCTATGGCAGACGGAGAAAGAAAGGCAAAACCGGAATGGAAGGTTGGAGGAGAGAGAATTGTTGGCATTGATTGACATTCTTACCATTCCTGAGTCTCCTGGCATCTGAGCTCGGTTACACAAGCAGCCTTTGGAGATAGTCTGCATCCACACGCAGCCAGTTTGCTGAGCAAAGGGCAGTTAGTGTGACAGGATGGAGACAGAGAAAAGAATGGGGAAATGAAGAGGATGCAGCCCATGAAGCCGGAGACCCAACAGCATGCAAAGTAGTCAAAAAGGCAAGGATGCAAAACCCAAAAGTAGACAGAATATAATATTGGGATTTAAGTGGCCTCCTGACTTTGGGGGGTAACTTGTCAACTGAGTTGACAAGGAAGAGCTGAAAGTTGACTGGATGCAAAGGTGCCGTGATGGGTATTGGGGAAACAGACCAGATGTTACACAGAACCCTGTGTAAGAAAACTTAGTGAGTCAAGGGAACTGATGGGGCCAGGTTGCATTCTTTTAATTCTCCCAGTTAGCTATCACCCCTAACCTCTAGTTCTAGAATCCCATTCGGAAAGATCTTTCATGTCTTTTATCCCACTTTTCCTTTAACTTACCCCATCTAGAAAGACCAGAGCGTCCAGTCCTCTGAGTATCACGTCTCAGTTATCCCACCCCCTTTCAGATACCCTGATCTCACCATGAAATCGCCTTCCTGGATCCCGTGCTAGTTGCACAGCCATGCACAGTCCGATGCCTGAAGAGCAACCGGTGATCAGCACAGTGCGTGGAGCTGCCTTGGCCATGGCTGAGCTGCAGTGAAGTGTACTCGAAAGGATCAGGCTGGAAAGCAACAGTAAAATCCAGCATGTGATCCAGGGATCAGCTGAAGGCTTGAGAGGGTGACAAGGTGGAGGCAGTGCCTAACTCCTGTGGGCAGATGATTAACTCTCCAAACCTGTATCGGCCTTTCACAAAGCTTCTCTACTTCCTTCCTTCCTTTCAACCGTTCTATCTTTGCTCAGCACTGGTGGGCCACGGATGCAGCCTACTCTCATGGATTAATACTTGCGAAATGCTATAAAAACTAAAGAGAAAAAAAAATGAAATGAATTATAAACTTTGCCACAATGTGGACTGTTAATCATTAAGTTTTAAACAAACAACCACCCTCAGATTGTAATGTATGTAGGAAAGACCACGAGAGACAGGGTCAAGAGACTCTGGGAATAGTTAGATAAGAGACTGCATAGCCCACAACTGGGTAGTGGGTGGGGTATCACATTGTGAGCTATGCACTCTCTTATCTGACCATACCCTAGGCAGCCTTATCTTCCCAAAGTCTTTCCCACATATCATTATATCAATTGAAAAATTGCTTTAGGTCAGGGGTGATGCATCTGGCCCATGGGCCGGGATTTTGACAGCCCTGCTTTAGGTTACTATGATAGTCAAGACAACATTTGAACAACGGTAACAACAAAAACAGAAAAAATTAGGTCGAAGTTCCAGTAACCTGCCTAGAGTTCAATGGCCTCTAGGAGGCAACAGTTTCTCAACTATATAATTCCTTCCATGTGCCATCTGGGGATAATAATACTGATCTGCCTTACTGGGTGGGGTCTTAGGCTTTTTTTGCTTCACCTGGGAAATCTTGCTTACATGGATATTACATAGGAATTCTGTAGTAGAGTTCCGAATGCAAGCCTAGAAGATTGCCAATGATTAAATCGGATGCACAAAGGAGATGGAACTGCTTGAATCAAGTGCTACATTTTAGCCATCTCCTAATTCATATACATGTTTGGTACCAAGTTCATTAGATTGATATGTTAAATTGTGGGAAATATTGGATCTGGCTCAAATTGCATCTCAGTCTTTGGAAATGTAGGGTGGCGGCACTATTCTCCCTATTTAAAACAAGATTAAGCCTTGCAAGTGTATGATTGCACACAATGTAGAGTTTCAGCTCTGTGCTGCAAAAATCCAGGTAGCTACTGTGTTTCCCTGAAAATAAGACCCTGTCTATATATTTTTTTAAACCCAGAAATAATCGCTTGGCCTTATTGCCATGCACTCAAAAGTCTGATTGGGCTTATTATCAGGGGATGTCTTATTTTGGGGGAAACAGGGTACTAAGTGACAGCAAGGAGTTAAGAGTTTTCTGTTACATTGCTCTTTTGGCATATGCTGTAGCAGTCATCAGGATTTTGGTGCCAGTAATAAGTAAACATAATCCAGAAGATAAACAATTTCTTCTTAGCATTAGTATTATCCAACAGATCATAACAGGAACAGACCAAACATACAAGTGACTCAACCAGTTGTGTTCATATTTGAAGTGGCGGCATTAATATTTTTAGTAGAGGAATGAAAGTATATTTGAAGCAATGGAGAGTCAAGTGATTGAGATATTGCTGCAATTTGCAAAATATTAGGGATCTAGCCAGAAGTGGTTAAGTTCTGAGGGAATCACAAGTTACTAATCAGCCCTGGGACTTTGGGGAGGGGGGAGGGGTCCAGGTAGCTATCTAGTGACACCAGGACATTCCCAGAAGGGTGTGGCCAAAAATGTTCACACTGCTTTGGGGTGTCTTTTAAGGGCCGAAACAAGAGAAACAGCCTGAAATTATACCAGTGTAAGTTGATTATTTTATTGCCAAATTGGTGTAGTGGCTAAGGCATCAGGCTAGAAACCAGGAGACTCTGAGTTCTAGTCACACTCTTTCAGCCCAGGAAACGGGCAATGGCTCAGCTGGGGGAAGGAGACAAGGGCAAAGAACTTCTGAAATCTTGTCAAGAAAACTGCAGAGACTAATTTTTGTGTTGAATTTATGCTCCGTCCCATAATTGGGTAAACCAGATTGCCCCGATAGATCAGTCTCACTGGAAAAAAAAAACACTGTAGACACAGGCAAAAAACACTAATCCAGGCAATTGCCAGGAGTCAAAGGCACAACTTTATATCTTGAAGTGCCAGACAGCCATACACAGAGTATGGGTTTCTCTCTCCTGTTGTAACAAAAATCTAAACAGTTTGGGTGAGAGTCATCTCAGCAATTCTCTTGAAACAGATCCCGCATTTGGGTGGAGGGTGCTGCTTTCTTCTTTGGGTAGAACAGCTCCTTCCAGTCGCTTCTTGGTTTTCTCAGGCCAGTCTCCCAAACTGATACCACCATTTCCTTGCTTTTCTTCCCACCCTAGTCTCATTGTTCCAAAAGGCCTAGTTGTTCTGATGAGCCAAAACCAATCCCAGTGTATATTAACATTTGTTTCCTTTCTTGCTCCTTCAGAACTGTAGTCACCCCAGGTCAGTGGTTTGTGATTCACCTCACTCCCGTATTTACCTGACCTGACATTCCTAGCCAAATAAAAAGAGCTGCCTGAACCCTTATATTCTCTCTTCCTTGCCTGTTTAGGAAAATAACCCTGAAAGGAGCAACCCTAAACTGTGAGAGTTCAAGGCAAGGAGAGAAAGGCAGAGAGAAATACTCCGACCTTTCCTCACACAGAGTTGCTTTCTGCTCCTGAAGGCCAAGCATCTGGACTTCCTTCTGGAGGCTTATGAAGGCCTGATAGGATAGAAATGAAGAGAAGCTTCAGTGCGAAAGCCAAATTATAGCAGGCTGGTTCCAGCCAAGAAATGAGAAAAAGGGACCCAGGGTTTTATTTTACTTTTTTTTTTTTTTTGCTGGCCTTGTTCCAAGTCCTTGTTGTGCTTCAGCTCGTTTTTGACTGGTCCAGTGAGACTTTACTATGAATAAACTTTTGAACCCCTCTTCTTCTTTCTGTGAAGGATTTTTGTTTTTTAGACGTCTGCCTAAATATCACCTAATCCCCTTGATGTGCATTTCTATACTTGCATTGCTTTTTTTTCTTCTATTTTTAATTTTCTTTCTTTTCTCTGCCAAATGCTCTCTCATAGAAGGAAACAAGCTTCTACAGAGCCATCAGGATCTCCCTCTCTTTTTTTGGATCCATATATCATTTTTACCATTATTGTTAACTCTTTTTTCTTTCTTCAGTTCTGCTCAAAGTTAATGAATTGCAAGCAAATCCAACTTTCCCATCAGTTAAAAGAAGTTGGATTTGAACTGATAGGCTACCCGAGCCAAAAAAAAAATCTGAGATCAAGCCCTATTGAATCCCACCATGCGATATTTAATTGATATTTTGTTGTAATCTGTATTGCTGATATTTTGTGCATTGTTTTGTTTGCACTTTACTCTTAATTCTACAGTTTAATTGGATTGTTACTTATACTTACTAAAGCCACCATAATGTTAGCCATATTTTAAGAACTCTGTAATAGTTAAATATTGAATATAACTTTGATTCTAGAGCCTTTATACTGGGTCAATAAAATCAGGAGAGTTTGTTATATGTGGGTAAATGGATTTAATTAACCAAGAACTGACATTATTTAAAAATCCTTTGGTGGATATGCTTTATGTGATGATGTAAAATTTGAGTCCTTAATTCCTAAACAACATTTCCATTTATCTTTTCTCAAAATTGTATATTTTTTCCTGATCCAAGGTATCTGAGAAACCATCTTACTCTAATAGTACTAACTAGTCCATTGCACTCGTGCTAGAAATAAGAGGCCTGCTACAGACTCTATCTACTAAGAAATTCCAGTGGCCAGGGTCAAGGAGAAGAGTCTTTTTTGCTGTGGAACACTCTACCACTAGAGTTTAGAACTGCTCTCATGCTCCTGGCCTTCCAGAAGGGTATTAAAACTTGGTTTTGTGGGTTGGTTTGGGGCCTTAGAGATGATTGTTTGGGTAAGAAGACCTCATCTTCGTGCCATTCATCTCTTGGTTCTTTTTTTTTTTTTTTTGCATAGTTTTACAATTTTAATTGATTTTCTGTTTATTTATTTATGATCTGTAAGTCACCCAAAATCACTATAACAGGGAGATGGGTAGCATATAAATTTAATAAATAATAAATTTGAATAGATAGGCACTTCCAAATAACACCCCAGACTTACCAACTGTTGATAAGGAAAATAAAAAAAGTCTGGATAATAGATGTGGCAGTACCTGGAGACAACAGAATAGAAGAGAAAGAACTGGAGAAGTTAACAAAATACAAATATCTGCAAATAGAAATAGAATGACTGTGCAAAATAAAACAAAAGTATTTCCAATAGTAATAGGCGCCTTGGGCGCAATCCCAAAACAACCGGAGCACCACTTGAACACCATCAGCATTGACAAAATTGCCATCAGCCAATTGCCAAAGGCAGCTTTACTCGGAATAGCTTACATCCTCTGATGATACCTTTAACACATTCACATCTGTCTATTATAGGTCCTTGGGAAGTACTCAATATGTGGACAAAAATGCCAGATCCAGTCAGAACATCTGGCTGACTGTGCGATGAACCAAAATAATGCTGCTACTTTGTCATCCTCTTGATGAAGATGGTTACATAATTGTTTTGAGAAAAATGCATTCTTTAAAAATCCACTGATTAAAAATCTGGTTGATTTAATATTTACTTTTATTTTGCAGAGATAGGTTCATATGAACATACGGTACAGACATGTCTGTCTGTCTGTCTGTCTGTCTCTCTCTCTCTCTCTATATATATATATATATATACATATACATATACATATACATATACATATATATATATATACATACATACATACATACATACATACATACATACATACATA